CTGCTATTTCTGTGTATTTCTTTTTTGTAAGAAAGACTCTGTCTTGTCATTTTGGCCACTCTTTTAAGATTACGGTACCCAGAGTACTAACAATTGTTATTCTCTAATTCATAGAGAAGTTCTGTTTAATTTTTTACACTAGCGAACAGAGTGTTTTTTATGGTTTCTTTATTAATATTTACTTGTACTACATTACATGAAAATAACAACGAACTTAGGGTAGTGGGAATGACTTACTATTGCAAGATGTTTCTAGCTTCCTCCTGTAAATGTTGCAAACCCTGCTGATTTCGAAATCAGGAAGGCTTCCTTAACCATGCCTTGTGACACAGTGGGCTCTTTAGATTGGAAATCAAACACAAAAACTTACTGAACTCAAGCTGAGGAACCAGACGTGGGATGAGAACTAATGTATTTTTCTCTCATCTCTGTGACCACTAAAGTCCTCCCTGAGCCTTAAAGCAGGGTCCATCTCCTACAACAGTGGGGCATCTGGGCAAAGCCTGGTGACCTTTAGTGGATGACAGGTTCAAGGACAGAGTTTCATACACAGGGAGTTGTTTCCCTGGGGTAGAACCAATGATGTAGACTGAGCAGGAGGATGGCACAATATTAAGCGTTTGTGAGAAAGACACAAAAATGTCATCCTGGCAGTCAGGGATGAGGGTGAAACATTCTCCTGGCTTTTCTATTTGTTAGCTCTGTGACCCAAGACAAGTTGCTTAACCTCTCTGCACCTTGATACCAGTCCCTCCCAGTGGAGATAATAGTACTGACTTTAGTAGCTAGTTATAAGAATTCCACAAGTGCATATTTGTGATCTACTTCTCAAATAAGATAAATGTCCTTGTCAGGTCCATGGATATGACCACTATCACCATGAGTTTACTGTCAAGCGGGGTGTGGAGAAAGGCAAACCCCAGGGTGAACCGTATGCAAGATGTGATCAAGAAACACAGTGCTTATTGAAATTCCAAATTATAGACAAAGACATCGAGCCACTGATGCCCCTCAGGATAATCTCCTTGCTCTGACCACAGTTATCCCATTAGGGTTGCCACTTTCTGAAGTAATTCTGGAATCCTATTTCCGACATAGACCTTTGCTTCCCAGTTGGCTGTGGGGAAGGAATTGTGCAAAGCATTTCCCAAGTGCAGGCTTGCTTGTGTCACAGGCCAAAGCCCCAGGCTCCACAGCCCCACTCCGCCTCCCTATAAAGGTCAGTGTGCCCTCAGCGACCTGCTGTCCCTGGTGGGTACCTCCTGCTCTCAGCATGGCGCTGCACTGGGCCTTGGAAGCTCTGTGCCTCCTATCACTGCTGAACCCACAGGACCCAGCTTGTGCCAACGTCACAGCCATGCCCATCACCAGTGCCACCCTGGACTGGGTGAGTTCTAGGGCCATCACTGCCCAAGAACTATGGCCTCACGTCCCTCTCTGAGCTTTTATTCTCCTGCTGGCTGGGTCCCCTCTGCTCCTGGCTCTGTGCTTTGTCTTCTTGGGGATGGATGGCATTCTGACAACCCTGGGGGCCTCCCCTGCCTTCAAACTCAGGAGCTCCTCAACAAAGACCCTACACAAGGGACAATCCTGTGGTAGGCATGAAGAGGCGTCCCTGAGGGCCATCGGAATGAGCTCTGGCCTGTCCAGGCCTCAGCCATGCCTCGTTCTCCCTGATGCCTCAGCTGAGGAAGCGAAGGAGGGCTTCCCTGAGCTTTCTTTGCCCTGAGCTCCCACATCTGCTACTGCCCAGCTCAATCGTAGGTGGTTTTATGCCGCCGGTGCCTTTCGGAAGCCTGAGTATAAACAGGAGGTTCAAGCATTGCAAGCAGAATTCTTTTACCTTGACACACACCCCAGGGAAGACACAGTGACACTCCGGGAGCACATGACCATGTGAGTTCACCTGAGAGCCCAGGCACTGCCCACACTTGGAGGGGACACTTGGAGGGCCCTGCCTTGGCCCTGTCCAGGGGGGTAGCTGCTGCTTCTTGTCATCCTGCTTCTCACACTCCTCTCCTCCTGGTGTCTGACTTCAGCCACGACCACTGCATCCAGAACTCCACCTTACTGACAGTCCAGAGGAACAATGGAACCTTGGCCAGAACTGGTGAGGGCTGAACCTAAAAAGGACTGGGACCTGCAAGGGGCCGGGAGCCAGGAGCTGAGGTTTGGACACCAAGAACATGGGAAGAGCAACTCCACATGCCTGTCCGATCCCCAGATGTGCAAATTGCATAGCAAGCTTAGTAAAGACCCCCACCATTCCAGAGCCTTTACTGTGTGCCAGGCACTGTTGGAAGTGCTCTCAGTGAGCCAGCCCACCTACTGTGTGCCAAGAGCTCTAGGAGGCATTATTGCAAGGACCAGATGAGGAAACAGAAGAGAGACACTGAGGAGTGTTCCTGAGGTCACACAGCTTGTCATTAGAACCAGAATTCAGAGCAAATCTGGCTCCAGTCCTGCTGTTCTCAGCCAGCCTTGAAGATCCTGTGGAATCTCAGGGTGGAAGTCTATGAGTTGGCAGGAGGAGATTTCATCCACGTCCTCACTGTCACTGAAGCTGGCACACAAACATGGGTGGGACTAACTGATTCCTCTTAGCATGGCTGAGGCTCTTCTGTGGGCCTCATCTCTCTCACCTGTGAAATGGAGCACAGCTACCATCTGAGGCTCCTACTATCCCCTGTGTCTATAGTGCCCAGCATGGGGCCCTGCTATGCCAGGGATCCTGGTGCCTGGTAGTGAGTACAGAGAGCTGTATAATGGACCCTTCGTGCCCTTAAATTGTTTCACTGGAGTTCTTTCTCCTGCAGTGAAAAATGAGTTGCACCTGGCCCACCTGCTGCTCCTGCGGGACCCCCACAGCTTCATGCTGGGCTTCTACTTGAATGATGAGCAGAACGTTGGGCTGGCCTTACACAGTAGGTGCTGGCCCTCCTGGCCCCAGCCTGCCTGCCCCCGTCTGCAGCACTCTCACCCCGCTTCTGCATTCCCCTGCAGCTGACAAGCCGGAAGCCACCCCTGAGCAACTGGATGAGTTCCGGGAGGCCATCAAGTGTGTGGGCCTGAGCACATCAGAGATCCTCTACGTGGACTGGAAAAAGGTAAATACAGGGGCCACATATGGGCCAACCCCAAGGCCCAGAGAGGGAGAGCTGTCAGCCTTGCAGCACTGACTCAAGCACTGACTTTCTTGCAGAGTCTGCTGAGATGCAGACATGTGGGGTTTGAGGAGAGGGCCTCGAACCCTAATCTTAACACTAACCCTCAAGCCCTAACCCTAATCCCCTAGGGAAGGAAGAAAGATCCGGGGAGAGACCCTCCTGGGAGTGACCAATTGTGATCATATACCAAAGAGTTTTTGTCACTCTCCCTGTTTTTGCCATCTGGACTTTGGGGAATGTGTATCAAGATTTGTACTGTTGGGGCTGGGGATTTAGCTCAGAGGCATAAACACCTGCCTTGCAAGCAGGCAGTCGTGAGTTCGATCCCTGGTACCGATAAAAATGAAAAAAAAAATTAAAAAAAAAAAAAAGATTTGCAGTGTCACTCAAACCTCATGATTTTTGTGACACATGACAGTGACCTGTAGTATGGTCTCCTCAAGGTTTTTCACCAAACTTAGCTCCCTGCACAGCTGTGTCTGCTAACTCAGGGCTGCTGAGCGGTGGGTGACCTTGCTTTTGTAGAAATGCAATGCTTTCTTGACTCTAACAGTGAAAGTCTTCACCCCTGCATGCTGGACTGATGTCCCCAGGCCTGGGGAACAGCTTAAAAACAGGGCTGGCTGCCCTGACCTTCTACTGCCTCGGGAACCTGGGACAGGTGCCCAGCCGCCTCAAGGTAGACTTGAGGGATGCAGCCGGGGCAATGTGAAGGCATCGCCAGCTCTGGCTGGGGTTTGAGCCCCAAGTGGAGCTGAAGAAGCTGTGGCTCAGCGAGCGACACCAGCTGGGCCCAGGCACACCTACCAGCCAGCAAGCTGGGACTCTGCCTTGTCCCAACCAGCTCCCTTCTCTCCTGTCTCCTAGAACAAGTGTGAGCTGCCTGAGCAACAGGAGACCAAGGGAAAGGAGACCTAGGAGGACAATGCTGTGCCGCTCATCGGGGTATTGGCAGCCATCACCCCCTCCGACCATTGTGCCTCTGCTTTGTCTCTGCATCAATAAAGGTCCCACAAGGGACAGTCAGACCGACAGTCATTTGTCCACTCAGTCACTCACTCATTTGTTCCTGTGTGGGGCCCAGGCTGGGAGGCCTGGTTGGAGAGGCCCAGGCCTAGTTTTAGAACCATGAGAGTGTCCACAGCTCTGCTGAGGACAGCACTGCCAAAGGAGCCCCGAGCCACCCAGGAGGATGGGAAGACAGCCACTGCTCGTTACATGCTGGACACCCCAGTGGACACATCTGGGGAAGCTGGGGCAGCAACCTGAGTAGAAGAGGTGTGGAGGACCCTCATTGCAGATGTGTCCTCGGCCACCTGGGCAGGTGGGTTGGGATGGACCAGGCAGGAAGGCCTAGTTAGTGGCATCAGGCATCCCAGAAGAGACTGCTGCACTGTCTGGCTGGCGAGGGGAAGAACAGGGATGGAGGACTTGGGCCTAGCCCAGCAGAGTTTCTGTGGTGTCCTCAGGGTGCCCACCTGAGTGACTCAGGAGCAATAATAGTTGTGGTTGAGGTGGCTTCAGGAAGCAGCTGACTTCTCCCTTGCAAATGTGTGTAGAGCCCTTATCCTGCACCTGCTGGTCCAAACAGACCTGGAATCCACCTGGGATGGCGCTTGGCCTCCCCCTCGCTGATCTCTCCTCACTTTGGCGGACTGAGTGTGGATCTTCTCTGGCTTCAGCACCAAGGGCTCGCCCTGACAGAGCTAGGGAAACTGAGGCCAGCTGAGCAGCAGGTCCCTGGAAGACTTGGATGGGGCTCAGGTCCTTCCCACCGACCAGCCTGACAACAGAAACTGTAAGGCTACCACATACCACACACATGCAGGTGGCTTTGGGGACTGTTTTGCTTTTTTTTTTTAAAAGATCATTTTTACTTTGCTCTTGTAACGAAAATAGACTTTAAAGGCCTCAAATATACAAATATCTGCGATGCACACACAGTGCAGAAATGCTGAGGTACATGCTGCTGCAGGTTGGGGAGCAAGGATGCTGGCCTCGAGGCCCAGACTGGGCCCTGCCAGGTAGCTGGTCACCAATCCAGTGCCACTGCGGCCTAGGGAAGAGCCCAGGCCTTGAGGCGAGGTACAGAGAGGGATGGGGTGGATGGCATTTCGGGCCTGCTGTGAATGGCCTCCATTCCCCAGCAGACCTACGAGAAAGGTTCATGCAACCATGGAGGAGCTGGGCACATCTCACCCGTCAGCATCACATCCTAAGATGTCCCACTTGTCCCTAAATGCCCCTCTGCCCACCAGTCACTAGGAGCAAGGTCTCTGAACAGGCCCTTCCTGAGACATGTGCCCCAGGGTGGCTGGACATAGGTGGGGGACAGGTTGGGTCCAGAGCACCTGGCCTTCCCATCTTCTCTCGCCTTTTGAGGAGGAGGTGAGACAGGACAACTCCTCAGCACAAAACTTCTGTCCATCTGTATATAAAGTAGATGGTACCAGTGAGAATGGACAAAGGCAGAGGCCAGGGAGGAGAGTTCCAGAGACTCCATCTGGCCAGATGTGGCCTTGGTCAGGGCACCTCCTGGACTGCTGGTGCCTTTGGGAAGTGGCTCCTCATGGTGCAGCATCCGTCCCTATTAAGAACACACTAATCTGAGCAGGTGAGTGAGCCTCCTGGGAGGGGGCTGTGGGCTCCTTCCGGTGTCAGCATCTCCAGCATCTCCATCCTGGGCTGGGTCCCAGGAGCTTCCAGGGAGTCAGAAGAGGCAGGAGTCCCGCAGGCCCTGGGACTGGCGCAGGTCAGCTGACAGTGACCGGCGCATCTGCCGACTGGTGGAGCGCACACTCTTGGCAACCTGCACAGCCCGGCTCAGGGCCCTGTGCATCTCCTGCAGGTCATCTAGGTCCAGCTGGAGGGAGTGCCGGTGTCCTCGAGATGGCCGCGAGGAGGCCTTGGGGGCTGAGGTAGGTGCTGGGGGTGCATAGTACCTAGGAGGAAGGCAAGTGTGCTCATTAGCACTGAGTTGGCTGGGTAACACCGAGAAGCACTGGGCTTGGAGTCTTCCCCTTCTAAATCCCAGCTCAGCTACTAGTCCCTACCCTCTGGGTCTCAGCTTCTTTGCCTGTAAAATGGGAATATCAAATACACCTAGATGGATGTGCTGGGAGGACAGAAGAGAAGGGTGCTCAGCCTGGACCTGGTGCTCAGGAGGGGTAGTTCAGAGCATTCACTCCTTTCTTGCTTTACTCAGTATCTGCTCCCTGAAAGCTCTGGAGTTGTCATGGAATCAGCAAACACAGACCTCTGCTGTCTTTCAGAAGCTTCTCATCTAAGAGAAACCAGGATCCCCACAGGCTTGGAAGAAAACCCCTTTAATGGAGAGGTAACATCTGGAGGCCCCATTGCCAGCCATAGGGTGCTGGAGAAATATGACAGGAAAGTTAGGAGCGAACAGAAGAAGGGGCCAGTCTCAGTCATCCAGGGTGGCAGGGAACAGGTGTCTCTCCCAACCTGGTCCTGCAGGAAGGAGCAGTGCTATTTTCAGTGGGCGGGGACATGGCGGATGGAACTCAGATGTTCCCAAGAGGTGATGGCTGCATTCATCAGGGCCACTAATTTTAGAGCTAAGATAGTTGCGGCTTCTGCATGGTGAATAAAACGTGTGTGAGTGTGAGGAGTGTGCGTGTGTGTGGTTGGGAGAGGAACACGGAAGCTGACCTCAGTAAAGCAGGAACGAGTTTCGGGCTGTCAGTTCTGGCTTATTCCTGGCGCTCGGCCTTCTTTATTGTTTTATGAATATATTTTACAGTACGCAATGGTCACATTCCTCCTGGGGAGCCTGGACATGCACATACAACACATCTTCATTTTTTTTTTATCATTTTCCTCTCCCCTTTTTTCCTCACTCCTTCCCTCCATTTCTTGGTCCCCTTCTCATATGCAAAAGATCTATCTCCCCTATTTCCTGTGATCTGTCTTTTATTTTGTTCTTTATTTATATTTTGAGTTTTTCATATAAGGGAAACCACGGGATATTTAAGCTCATATGTCTGATTTATCTCACTTACCATTATGGTCTCAAGGTGCCTTTGTTTCCCTACACTATACCTTCTAACTTCTGTTTCTCTCTGTGTGTGTGTGTGAGTGTGTGTGTGTGTGGGTGGGTGGGTGACCTCTACAGTCATTTCTCTGAAGAAGGACAAATGGCCACCAATCCCATGAAAGGTGTGGCCACACCATACGCCATTAGGAAAATACAAATCAGAGCCATGTGGGTCACCCCCATCTTCTGTACCCACACACCAGCTGCTTCCTATTATTCGTCAGCTGATGCCATAACCTTATTTTATGGAGAAGCATGAAGCTGGGAGGAGCTGAGCAAGCCTGAAGACAGTAGGAGGTGCTGGCTGGAGCAGCTCGGGCCTCTCAAGCAGCCCAAAGCCCGGGGTTACCGTGCAGGGTCCCCTGGACAGGGTACGCGTGTTTTCAAGTCTCTCTGTTCAGCTACATCCCGATAGAGCGAATGGAAGAGTTAGAGAAAAGCCGTGGGCTGCCAGACACAGTAAGTGCTTTGGAACTGTGAGCTACTAAGGCCTCAAGTCACAGCTGGAAGGGGCAGCATCGGATTCACACCCAGACCTGACTCTGCCAGCAACACTAATCAGGAAGCAGCCTGTGCTGAGGAACATCTCCAGACTGAAAGAAGTGTTTTCTTGAATCCAGCGACCGCAGCCCACATTCTCAGGGAGTGTCCCATATCCCCCTGCCTTCTGCTCACCGGATCACCAGCTTGGTAGAACAGCCGCTAAATTTCCCTTAAGGCAGAAGTTTGAAAAAACAAACAAAAAATCCCTTTGGGCTACTCAATCCCAGGGGCCATACATCTCCTGGCCTGCAGGTGGCAGCACAAGCACTCTGCGCGCTCCAAACCACACGGCGCATGCTCCATCGCTAATCTCAGGAGGGAGCCGGGAGCACCGGCAGCCGGGATTCCAGCAGCGTTAGAGGCACTGTGGTTTCTGGCCACCTTCTGTGCACTGTGGGCTTCCTGTGCGTTATTCATTCACTTCTCACCACGAGCCATTTCCCAGAGGAGGAAACAGGTAGAGAGGGAAAGTGACCCCAGAGTTATTCAGACACTGCTGGGCACTAAAATACTTTCCCCTTTCCCACAGCACCGTGGGGCCAGGAGACAGCAAACAGCTTAGCGCTTCCACCAGGCCCGCAAGGATGGGGCCCAAGGCGCAGCGAAGAAGCCAGGGCTCACACGGGGTGACGGGTGGGGGGCAAACTCCAGACCCTCCCGTGCAGCCAGGCGGCGAGTGGGAATGTTGGGGGGGGGGTGTCAGCGCTTGAACTTGCATGTGTCAGCCCTGGTGCCCAGAGTGGGCGCCCATCCTTGCTGGGGTGCAGAGAGCCCTCAGGACCTGTCCAGCTGGTTGCACCATGACTCCTCTGCTCCTGAGACCCTTCCCTCACACAGCTCTGGCCCGGGCTGCCTGCAGCGTCACCATTGAAGGCCTCAGCCCCAACTGAGGGGAAACCGAGGCACGGAACTAGCGGATGACAGCTGGCCCGAGAAGGGAAGCGTCCTGATTGCACGGTGCAGGCTTCTCCACACACAGTCACACCACCGTGGCGAAGTCACATGTAATTCATTTCTCCTTCCCAGTTCCCGCTGATCCAGCAATGAGCTCCAGCCAGCCCTGACCGGCAGACTCGGCCATTGCCTCGCTGAGGCTCTGCCCTGCACCTCGCTTCATCCTGGCACGGCAGAGACCATGACCCCACGCACAGAAGGGAAACTGAGGCGCAGAGGGCCAGGAGGGGCAGATGAGTCTCCACAGCAGTTCTCTGTCTCAGCCTACACCTTCCTGCCTGACGCTTTCAGCTCTGCTTCAGTGGGGCACTCATCCCATGGCACACCCAGCCAGTGCACCCCCATCCTGTTGGGGTCAAGGGAGACAGGGCCACCACTGCCACAGCCAGAAAGAGCCTAAGGAGAGTGTCAAGCTGTAGGGGACCCAGAAAGGGACACTGGAATAGAAAAGACTTCAGATACAAACTGAAGACACTGAAATAACTATGGATTTCATGGGTAATGTGCAACACTAACCTGATACTCTTGTAGTCATTCAACAAACCCAATAATGTATTAATGTTGGCTTGTTAATGGTGGCACATGTGCCATATGGATGCAGGATGTTAGTAACAGGGGTGACTGCACGGGCAAGGTGTTGTCTATGGAAACTCTGTATTATCTGCTCAATTTCCCTAAATCCAGAACTTCTCCAAAAAACAAAGTCTACTAAAAAAGTATGTAAGTTCTCATTACACACTTGTCATGAGGAAATGGAAGATGCTTGGGGTTCTAGGTCCCCAGGAAGATGTAAGTTCTCAGGCGGCAGATCCTTTTAGCAGTTTCCTATAGCGTAGGCTCCTCAGGTAGAGCGATTTCCCTGTTATGGAGAGTACTTGGGGTCTGTGGAGTGACTCTTAAGAGTGTCAGGCTTGGGCTGCGTGTTACTCACACAGGCTAAATCACAGTGCGCACTGTGCCTGCCTGCTCTACCCCCTACAGGTAGGAAGGCTGGTGTTTGCAGCCACTCAGACACAGAGGCCGCCTGCTTAGAAGGGAAGACTTACACTGTGGCTGGAGGATAAGGCATGATGGGCACCGAGGAGATGTAGGCAAAGGCTGGAGGAGCTGGTGGCGGGGGTGCAGCTGCCAGGTACCACAGTCCAGACGGCGGCCGTGCAGGGGAGCCTGCCTGCTTGCTCCTCTGCCTGGGGCTGGAAGCTGGAGGCGCGTCTTTCCGTGTGGCTGCCTTGTCTGTCCCTGCCGGGAAGGCGACACCACAAGACACAATCTGACTCCTACGTGGGCGGGCGGGGGCGGCAAGACCGGGGGTGCCCCAGAACCCACCCCCGATGGGTGGTGACCCCTTTTCCCATCTGCCGCACCCCAAGCCAAGCAGATTCCAAGCACCTGTCCTTACCAGAAGTGGCTGAGCTGGGGCCGTCTCCCTCGGGAGGAGACCCTGCTCGGCCACACAGGGGACACAGGAGGGGACCGGAGGCTGACAGACGCAGTGGGTCTTTGACAGCAGCTCCTGGAAGAGAGATCAGAAGGGGATCTACCTGGAACATCAGGCCCTCACAGCACTGAGATTTCCTTGGGAGCTGTGGCAGCGGGGACTGCCGCCTCCCTCCACCCAGGGGACGATACTGATGCCATGATCATGGTGACAGGTGGCACTCAATAAGCTGGCCCCCACTAAGGGCCTTTGTGCTTTACTGTATCAACTCCCACTGGCCACGGGGTTGGCTGCTCTGCTTGTCCCTCCCTCTCCTAAGGTGGAGCAAACGTGGTTCAGGAGTGCTGTGGTTCAGATCTCAGGTCCCCTGAGAGTGTCACAGAGTTGGAGCCTTCGGAAGGCGATTGAATCACAGGGGTGCTACACTCATCTGTGAGTTGACTTCTTGTTGCTGAGTTTATGCCTAACTGCGCCACGAGGGGTGGGCTGGGCTGGAAGAGGGGTGTCCCTGGGGCTGAGCCCGGAGGGCCTGTGCCCCTCCCTGGCTGCTCTTTCCCTGTCTGCTTCCTGGGCCATGCGGTGAGCAGTTTGGTGTTTCCGCTGTGCAGCCAGCTGCTGTGGACTGAACCCCCAAAACTGTGAGCCAAATTAAACCTTTCTCCCTTTAAATTGTGAATAATGGGCACTGTGCCCCCGCGACGGGCAAGCTGACTTATACGGAAAATCAGTACCGGAGAAGTGGGGTCTTGCTGTGAATGTACCTGACCATTAGTTTGGAACAGGCTTGTGGGAAGAGTGAAAAGGTTTGGAGATAGACAGGAAAAAGTTCTGGAACGCTTTAAACAGAATTTTCTGGGAGATTCTAGAAGCCCAGAATGCTGACAGGAAGGAGGCCAGTAAGGCCGGGCTCTGAGGTCCCAGGACTCCATCGGCAGGTGGCACAGAGACCATGCATGCGGTGGCAGAATTGTCGACTTTTGCCGACGTCCTGAGAATTTTCAGCAGACTAATTAAAGATTAAGTGTAGTATTAATTAAGTAATCTAGCGGAGGAAATGTTAAGTCGGCTCAGCATTTAGCCTATGGCATGGGTACTGTTGGCTTCTTTCAGCCAGATTTACAGTGAGAACCAGAGAAAAGGCACAATACAAAAATGTTTAAAAGGTAAATTTTGATCCAGAAGGAGTCATGTGTAAAGATGAAAGAACACAGACCTGGTAGCCAAGTGTCAGGGCGCTATAGTCTGAAGACCTGGATTCGAACCTTGCTTCTCCCATGTATATAATCTCTCCAAGCCTCGGTTATAGAATGGACATAATAGTAACACTTCATATATGAGCATTAATATAGATAAAGCCCTTAGCACAACTTTCTGTATACAGTAGGAGCCTAATGAATTGCATCTCCCTTATCATCATCATTGTTGCTTGAAAAGGCCTGAGAGACCATCTCCAACCTTCTCATTTTGAACAAGAAACCTGAAGCTCAGAGAAGTCAAGAACTGGCCTAAGATAACACAGAAAATCAGTGGCAGAACTGGTACCAGAACTCAGGGCCTGGATTCTCAGGTCACTGATCTGCCACCACTTGTCACTGCCGCATACTGGGGGTACAACAAGGAGTGGAGGAGGAGAGACACGAGGCCCTGTCATGCACGTAGCTGCCCTGCTGCATACCCGTCCACCCCCCCAGGAACTCAGAAAGTCCTTAAATGATGAGAGCAGGTCCAGGGAGCAGCCCCTGGAACAGAAGGTGGTGTAGGACAGGGCTGGCTGAGCCCTAAAGCCCCTTCCCCTCATCTGTGCCCCTGGCTCCCTGGGCAGGGCAGGCCCATCTGCCTGGCCAAACAGAACACCCTGCAGAGCAGCTGCAGCCTCAATCACCCCATGCTCGACCCCTTACCTGTGTCCTGGGCCATAATGGGTTGGCAGTGGGCACAGGAGGCTGAGCTGCTGCCCCTCAGGATGGTTTTAGGGAACAGGACATGGTAATCCTTGCCTGGGGGAGAAACGAGCCATGAGCATCAGCCCCCTGCAAAGACACAGAAGCAGGGAGGATCTGGCTTCACAATCGCTCTTCCTCCTCCCATGCTAGCCACTCCCTGTCTGTCTCTCACGTGTGCACTTGTGAGCACACATACCAGGCATGTGCACACATATGCTCACGAGTGCATGCACACACGCACACATACATATATAACACGTGGACTGTTTACTGCGAGCTCTCTGCAGACTGTGGCCCTGGAAGCAGCTGCTAAATGATTCCCAGTATGGAAGTGACTGACACCCCTCAGTCAAGCCAGGATGTAAACTGGAAGTTGTGAAGAAAGGGCCACTCTCCCAGCCCCTGATGCACTGATGTGGGTCTGGGTGCCTTGAGCCAGGGGTCCGTGCATTTGCTTACTCCCTGCACTCTGGGTGGCTGTGAGATTGGGGTCATCATAGCACCAGAATCCTAGGCTTGCAGCAAAGACTCATGGGGTAATATCGGTGAGGTCACCACCCAGTGCCTGGCAGATGAAAATCTCTCTCTGCCACCAGGAAGCTTTTGGGTCCTTACCATCCCTCAACCTCAAGCCACTGCAAGAAGATGCCTGATCTTTCTCCTCCCTGTGCTGGGGTGGGGGGGGGTGTCACATTTTGTGCCGTATGTGGTTCTGGAGCCCTGCACTGCATTGTGACTGCTTGGTCTCTGTTGTCTCCCTTATGACACATGCCAAATAAGCTTCCTTCCCGCCTCATTCCCAGCAAGCAGGGATGTAGACTGAAGCAGCAGTCTCCTTGATCAGAGAAGTGCTGGTGACAGCCACGCTGACTTTATTGTCAATACTTATTGTCACTGCCTCTGCCGGGCAGTCAGTCTCGCCAAGGTGGAAACCAAGTGCACACTCTTTTTCAATGTTAAGCACTTAAAAGTGCTATGAGGAGTCACTGCAGGCCATACTTGGGTAAAGTCAGGTTTTTGAGGTCATGAGAAATGTCAGCTGCTGGAACTACAACCTGAGACGAAGCCAGTACCCAGAATGCAACACTCAGTGTTCACCCAGGTCTGGCAGAGTAGTTCACGTACCTGACTGGCTGAGCAAATGGGTTAGATTCTCCCAGAGCTAAGCCAGGTGGAGGGGACAGTATCTGTCCGTACATGGAGCCCTGCCCTGACACTCCTTCTGTTATGGACACCCGGTCTAAATGGCCCACTGGCCACATGGCAAAGGTATGCCATGGTGGAGGAGGCCCTGGGGGGGCTGCGCCCATGCCAGCCACTCTCCTGGCCCACCTGTGTACTGGCCCTGGAAAGAGACCCTGTCTGGCCGTCTGGAAACACTTGTTCCTCTTGTGCTGTCCGGAGCTGTGTGGGGACTGTCCTCAGAGGTCCTGATCTTCCCAGATGGCAGCTGTGGGGAGAGCGGTTCACATTCCGAACCTAGGGTAGAGACAGAGGGACTTCAGAGTGGATGGAGTGGTGGTCATACAGCTCAGGGCATAAGCCATGGCAGGTTCTGGCTCTAGGACAATGCCTTCTTACTGGGGGTTTGCTTCCTGGGAATACAGCCCACACCTCCAGTTAGCTGTCTCTCTAGCCACTCAGCAGGGGCACAGCCTGGTTCAAGATGGTGAGCAGAGATGGGGTCAACCTGCAGGGACTCTGGGGGCTACACCCTGTCTGTCACATCTGGGTGCTGGTCAGGGCTCAGTGTCCTCATCTAAACGAGGTGGACAGTACAACCTGCCTTGCAGTGGTGGACCACCGAGATGCGTATCCTGAGCTCTGTAGACAGCTGGTGTGTGACAGGCAGTGGCCACTACCGGTAACACGTAATGTCTCAGTGTACCCCAGTGGCTTGCAACGTATCCCCAACACCCTCTGATCTGCAGCGCAGCTGCCGGGCTCCTCAGCCACTGAGTTAGCAGGCTCTGCGTGGCCTGCTGAGGTCAATTCCAGCAGGCAGTTACTTACTCGGGGACAGTCGGGGCGCAGAGGAGGACCGAGAACGTCGTCTGCCTGCAGACCAAGCTCGCTCTGTACCTTCAGGCTCCCTGGACAACCTCTCTATGGATTTACTAGCAACAGAGAAGAGAGACAGTGTCCCTGGATGGGGGTCTGTGCAGCCTTCATATGAGCCATGGAAAGGCCAACCTAAAGAACTGCTTGTGACCCAGAAGGAGGAAGAATATGTAACAGTCAAACCAGACTGAGTCAGACCCATGCGTAATGGCTCTGGGCCTGTGACCCTCAGCTTCCTCGTCTGTCAAAGAGGGATGAGAAAAACAATGATATCAGAGAACGGCTTGAAGGACTAATGGGGTAATATTTATAAAACCCTTAACTCAGATCTCTCCGCTGAAACAGTCAGAAGAAGCGATCTGACTTTACAAGTCATCTTCACAAACGAAAGGCTACTGACCGAGTGTGTGTGCAACCTGCAGGAGGTCCCGCTCCTCAGGCAGGAGGAGGATTCGGGAATATTCTTTGTCTAATGCTTTATTACTAATGCGTGACTTTAGATATTCTTTTATGCATCAAATACGACAGTGAAAAAAATGACAGAGGGAATAAATAATGGCCCGAATGCGTGACAGAGCACAGTGGCAGTGGTTGAACCCTATGGCTACAGGAAGCGAGGGGCCAGACATCTGTCTTTTATAGCCGCCACCAGGACACAGAGGTTACCCACCTGCCACTGTGGGAGCCCCCGGTAGCTGAAGAGTTGGTGGTTCGATCCCGGGTGCGGGCAGCATGGTCAAAGGCAGATGCAGCCTTTGGGCTGCGCTGGGAAGGTGGCTGCAAGCTGTCCTCTAGCCGCAGACGGAGCCGGGACACCTCTGCTTGCAGCTCACGGATGGCCTGGCTAGGGTGGGGAATGGGACAGAAGCACAGAACAGATGTGTAAGGAACAGAGCCACAGACCTGAGTGCTTCCTAGATGCCAAGGCCTTCACCAGGCTGCAGCAGACACAGGCTCAACCTCTGCAGTGCAGTGATTCTCAAACTCAGCTGTTGGTCCACGCTATGCTTCTTGACACCTGAGTTCAGTCCGTGTGAATTCTGTGAGCACCTCAGAAACTTCCATTGAAGATGGCCCACCCAACATGCAGGAAACACCAGGACAAATTCCAAAGACCCAGCCAAGGGTGCACTGAAAACAGTCCACTTGAAACTCTCCATCCATCCTGACTGCCCCAGCTTGGGCCACCTTCCTGGCTCTGCCTTTCTCCCAGAAAACCCTAGTGTAGCAGCTGAGCCTGGTCCCTCTCTGCCCTTGCTTAGCTTCTGCTTCCTGCTCTCCCTCAAAACCTTTCCTACTGTTGAGCTCTCCGCTCCTGGTAGAAGACACTTCTCTGTCTCCCAGCCCTGAGCCACTGGCAGGCAGGGACCAGGCTTCCCATCTCCTGTCCCCAGAGATCTTCAGTCCTAGAAGCATTACTGAACCGGAGCCAGCTGTAAGAGGGAGCAGGGTAAAGTGTGTGCATGGAGCACAGACCAGGAGACCCTGCACTGCCGGACTGAGCAGATGGGGAGGGCAGGGTGCTGCTGTGACCCTGTGAGTGAGTCCCACAAACTTAGTCCAACCTCTTGTTCATAAGGCTGAGGAGCAATCCTAGCTATATCTCTCTCTGCTCAGTGCCTGTATTGCTGTTACCCTATGGATCCTGTTGGCACTATGGAGAACAATGCCACCCAGGCATCCTGCACACAAGATGCCCTCCCATGGCCCAGTTGTCCGCTGGGTCGCTGCGGGCTCTGAATCCCTCAGGGTCAGTTCTTGCCTGGTGTCACCTCCAGCATACATGAGCTGTCCCACGAGTGTGCAGGAGGCACAGAGACCTGGCCCTGGCCCTGTGGCATGGCATGTGTACAGAGTGAGTTGGTTTCCCCGGCAGTGCCCAGGGCAACACTTGTCAGGGCTTGCAAGGCACATGGGCGGTGACCATGGTGGTGACTACAGGACAGCGAGTGCTCTGGACCCTTGTTAACCCTTGGGTGCCAGGACTCTGGCTGCTGACCTGGGACTTGGGATACCCACTCAGGCTGGTAAGTGGACATCACTGCCCCTCTCTGAGCTTTATCTCATTAGCCCCCGAGTTCCAGCTCACACTGACACTCATCTTTCCTTGCAAACTTGCTCCCCACTCTGCCCAAGGTATCAGCATCCAGCCGATTGCCCAGCCAGGAGTTGGTATCCTAGATCCTTCTCCTCCCTGGGTACCTCTGTGGTTAACCAGCTTCTTGAGATTGGGAGGAGTTGCTCCTTTTCTCTCACCATCCCTTGGCCTCTCCTCAGCACTCCCCCTGCCCAGCTCTGTGTTCCTGCTAGGGCGGCCAGAGAGATCTTTCTGAAACACAAACCCAGTTCATTAAAACCCCTTGCCATGCTTGGGAGGAGACTGCACACTCATGGAATGTTCAGTAAATGCCTCTCTGTACCAAGCTTCTGCTCTGAGATGCACACTGTAGCATTTGAGGCCCTATATGGTCTCCCCTGGCTGCTTCCCTGTGTTACTGCTCAGCACCTACCACCTCATACCCAAGGATCCAGCTGTCATGAACATCTGGTTCTTTGGTGGTGACAGGCGCTCTCTTGCCCGAGTTTCCCCTGCAGGTGCTGTTCTATCTCTCGTCCTTTGGTCTCCACTGAGATACCTCTTCTTGTTCCTCCCTGAAGCCTCCCGCCCTCTGCTCCCATAGCTGAGGCCTCTGCTAGCATTCTACTTAACATGCTGGGTGCACTGCCTGCTGGCCTTGTCCATCCTACAAGATGCTGAGCCTCCAGGACAGTGGCTTGTCCCCTGACTTGTTCCCAAGGATTGGCATACATAGGTGAATATGCTTCCACTGATGCTAGGGTGGCTACTGGGGTACACATAGTCCACCAAACCCCTAGAGCTAGCCACGACTGTGCACCTGGCAATGTGACCTCAAAGGCCAAGATGACCTGGGAGACCTACTAGCAGCCTCTCTAGAGAGCTGTAACCTACCCTGAGATGGCATGGGGCTGACCATCTGCCTCCCCATTCTGGTGCAATCGGAGAAGAAAACATGAGGGGAGAAGGGAGAAGGAAGAGGAGAGAAGGGGGCATGAAAGAAGAATCTCTTAGTTGATAGATACAATGAAAGAACCAACTGTCTTGAAGGGAAATGTTGGAGGCAGGGGAGATCTCAGCACCTCTGCGTCATTTCCTGTTGGCTGGTGAAGTGTCCTCAAAGTCTAGATCAGTGAGGTCCTGCAGAAATAACCTTAATTTGGGAGGCAGGACACCTGGATCCCCTCATGTGTGAGCCATTTGGGGCCACCTCCCTGTTCCCCAGCCCCCACCACTCTGATGTGTGACTTTGAATTATGCAACTTACTCTCGCTCTGTTCTGGTGAGGAGGAGGTCGGAAGTGGTCTCTGCTGGTCCAGGAGTAGATGGGGCAGCTCCAGGGACCTGTGTGGGCTCAGGGTTGGTTGTCCTGCTGGGGAGCAGCCATTCAGAAATCTGCTTTCGGCCCCGAAACTCTGAACCAGGGAGCCCTGGTGAGGCAGACAGAGGCCAGCATGAGCTGCAGCAGAAAGGACCCTCAAAACTTCAAGACATGGAGCTGGATGACGGTGGGGGAGGGGGAGGGAGGTGGTAATCAGTTGGAGTCCAAGTACAGGTCCTGACCAGGCAGTGACCTGCTGACCTCACAAGCAGACTTTGTTTTTTGCGCCTGTGGGCGCTGAGCTGCTTCTAGGATGCCCCCATCCCCATTAGACAACAGACCCAAGTCTTTAGGACCTTATTCCTGCCACCGGGAATTCACTGCTCCTTGCTGTGGCTCTTGCAGACTCAGATACCATCTCAGCACGTCACACCAGGACTGGCTTTAGAAATCTGCCACACTTCTAGGTGCCTGCTTCTGGGGACAGCAAGACTCTAGTTCTGGGGATTCCGAGCTCTCAAGGCCAAACCACCACCCTGGTGCAGGCACAGCAACAATGGGCTATGGGATGCACTGAGCATTGCATAAGAGACAAACTCCTGACACCTGGGAGGATCAGGGTGAAAACTACACTGAGTACAAGAGCCAATCCAGAGACTACACACCGTGATTCTGTTTATAAGACATTCTTGAAATAAAATGGTAGACATGGAGATACTGAGCACTTGCTGGGAGGATAAGGTGTGGCCAGGAACAGGCACGGAGAGCCCCTTGCAGCCGTGGAGATGTCAACCTCGGCTGAATGTCAGCCGCTGCTGCAACACTGTCCCTCACTCTTGCAAGGTATTCTCACTGGGGGACATGGGAGGCTGTGGGCTCTCCCTGTGTTTATTACCTCTCCCAGGTGCATGTCAAGCTACAATTGTCTCAAACAGTTTAATTACTAGTTCTTTTAAAGATTGAATCTTAAAAAGAGGCAAAGCGAAGTTGAGGTATTCTGTTTGGGGGAGCGGGGACAGAAGGCGCTCGCCCACGTGGCGCTCTGGGGTGCTGATCTCTTGGTCTGGCCAGGTTCACTCTGAAAATTCACTATCTGTGTTCTCATCTGTATTTTTGTTTTGTTTACAGAAAAAGTTCATGTGCATTTTCTAAAGGTATAAAATCGACTGCAGGTAGATGTACAGACATGGAACAAGCTCACTTTCAGTGTTTACTAACGAGGGGCAGGAGGAGGCTGCCACCCCTGCACACAGAATATGGTGCCATTTCAGTTTCACATGTATATCAACAAACACACAAGGCTAGCGGTGTGGAATTTTTCTCTTCTTACCTTCTGTCCCCGCTATCTGTAATTTCAGATTTTCCTGCGTCAGCCTATATAGTATTTTGAATACTAAGAATAAGCCAGGTTTTCTATTCCTACATTTTTCCACTCTGCAGTCCAGCTGGCCAGATCCTGGGTGACCCAGGTCCCAGCCAGCCCAGATACCCCTCACTCACCCATTGCCACCGAAAATGCCTGCTCCAGGTGGGAGGCAGGTGTCCTGTTCTGGGGGTGACCACTCCTGCCGGACAGGTTCCACACGGCTCGGTGTCTGGGGGTGCTGGGCCCAGCTTCTCTCCTGGGAACCAGAGGACCCCTGGCCTTAGGGTGGGAGTTTCTCATGTGGGGCACAGATGCAGTGACATGCTGGGGAAACGTTCCTGGGGTGCTGGGGGACAAGGCAGGGAGAAATTTGTGGTCACACATAGAGGCTGTGGGTGGTAGGGGCCCAGCTTCCCAGGCAGGACACACCCCTGTGATCGGTCCTTATCTTTCACAAACTGTGTAGCAGCAAACAGCAAACCTGATAACTCATATACGGGAAATAATAAAGCTCCACTTACTTTATAGGAAACAAAGAGAGTTTCTTATCCTTCCTTAGTGCACAACAGGGTTGCCAGGTGGGGCTCTGCAGGGGCCTGGGCCCCTATTGGTGGCCTCTAGTCCACAGCCCATCACCTCATCACCCCCACCCCCACCCCCGCACCCTCACCCAGCTCTCACCAGGCCTCCCCCTCCCTCTGGGTCCCAGCCTGGTCCCCCACGGAGCCACCCTGAATGCTTTGTGTCTTTGGCTTCTCCTCACTTCATCCTCTCATCCTTGAAGCTGTCATTCATTCACCCATTCACTCATTCCTTTCTTCAATTACTATGACTCCCAGCTCCTGCTAATGGGCTAAGTGGCTATGCCACTCACGTCCCCTTTTTCCCCCTCTGCTCTGCTCTATGCAAAAAACAGGGAAAGGACCCCTGATGGGGTGAAAGGAGGTCCCGTGATCCCACCGACTCCCTGTGAGCCATCACAGGCACTTTGACCCCCAGGCTATCCCAGGAGTGACACTGAAGGGACAGTGATGGGGTCCACGATACCTGAGGTGGGAGAGCCGGTGCTCGGGGGTCTGGGTGAGGGGTGACACTCGGCTGGTTTCTGAGCCCACAAAACCACTGTCTGTCTCAGGAGAGGCCATCCAGGACTCCTGAAAAAGGCAGTGTCCATTTAAGTCAGAGGCATGTGCCCAGGTACCTGGGAAGCCCCTTCTTCTCCCAATCCTGGCCTGGGCTCACACTCCAGAGGCCCCCAGCTCGTCCAGGAGAAGAAAGCCAGGCCAGGGGTGAGGGTCCTCAGGCCTTGCAGGCCCAGGGCCAGCACGAGCTGATGGAGCTCCACAGATGGAGAAGTCCCTGAGAAGGTCTGGCAGCCTTGTGGGTGGCAGTCTGAGCCCTGGGAGAGCCACCTTGGCAGGTGAGAGATGCAGAGCAGAGAAGAGAGTTCTATTCCAGAGTCTTCTGGCAAAATCTGGAGTGCCATGGTCTCCTCTGCTCCCAGAAACCCTCAGATCCAATATATTGGAAACAAAACCCATTAAACACACACAGGCTGGCCCTCTGGGTTCTATGCAAGACACAGAGAGCTCAACAGGTGACACAGGCACCGTCCCTGTTGTCCTGTGCAAGGGGTCCCAGACAGGGGTCCTGAGCAGGGCTGGTCAGGACTATGGTGTGTGTGTGCACATGCACGCACACATATATACACATTTTCCTAAGAGCTCGAGTCACATTTTTGTAGTGGCCTGTGGCCCCTATCACAGTGTGGACGATTACTGCATGGTGGCAGCTGGGATTCCCAGGGCAGACAAGCTCAGTGAAGAGTTATAGCTCTCTAAGGAAGAACAAGAGTCCTGGCAGAGGACAGGCTGAGTGGCACAGGGGGGCATCCTGAAGAGCAGCACTGTGGCTGGCAGGGGTCGGAGAAGCAGCCCTTCTGAGAGAGGCTGCTTGCAAAAGTCCAGGGACAGAGGGCTCAGCAGGCCCAGTGAGAGGCTGCAAGGCTCTGAGCCAGCCCAGGAGCACCAACCTGAGGCAAAGTCTTCTGCGCGAGGTGCTCCGAGAGGCCGCTCCCCTCCAGGCTGCTCAGGCTGCTCTGGTGAGATGCTGCAGCTGTGGTGTCTGCTGAGTTGGGGGGTACACCGGGCCCCAGAGGAGCTGTCTGAGTTTTACACATGCCTGGCAGGTGCCTGTGCCTTGCCTTTGACGTCTGGAAGCCTGGCAGCTTCCTGGAGACCATATGCTCCACATTGTCCCTGCAGGAAGGAGAAACAACATCCCTGAGACCTAGCGTGAGCTGGGGCTCTGCCTATCATGGGAAAAACTTGGAGTCAGACACCTACGAGTGCCCATTCTGACTCTACTTCCTTTCAGTTGTGTGACCCCAAGTAAGGCACTTCCCTCTATGGACCTCATTTTTTTAAACTGTAAAATGAAGACATCAGCACAATCTTTGCAGCAATGTACCAGAGCAGAACACCATGGAAACAGGAAGTGATGTAATGGTTCCTAGACTTTGAGTATTTGCATGCCATCCTCCTGCTTCCGGTGTCCCATGGACTCCCAGTGGATCAACAAGATGGCCACATGTACCCGTGGAGGACTGGTATTCCATGTTACACACAGAAACGAACTTTGAAAATAAATATGAGACAAACAAGAGCATAGCAGCATATTCCGGATAGATCTTGTCACCTGCTCCGGGCTCTGGACCAATGCCTGCTTATGCGTTTGGCTGTATCTCTGTTCCTGTTTGTCTCTCTCTGATTCTGTTTCTGTCCCCCAAAACAGACCATGCGAGGTGTTAAAACATAATGGCACTAATTGGACTTTCTCCTTGGTATCATTAGATCAAAGAAGGAAAAAGAGGACAATCTGTTTTGTGCGGCCTCTGTCCTGCTTCAAACCCTGTCCCAAAATGCCCAGGGACTCTTCAAATGTTCTCGGTGGCCCATGACTCACTAAAGAGAGGTGGGCTGGCACCATGTTTATACCGTGAAGAGCAGTCTAGCTCCCCCCGACAGCTGCCATCCCTGTGGCTTCAGGGTGGAGTGGGTCACCTAGGGGCTCAGTGACTTACTGGGTAGGTGACCTGGGACTTCGCTCAGCCTGTGCTGGGTGCCGCCAGGGGGGAACCCTGGTGGCTTCTGCTTTGCTTGAAGCTGAAGCCGGCCCATTGACTCTCGGGGTGTGATGGCTCTCTTCCTCTTCCTCCTCTCCTTCTTCCTCCTCTTCCTCCTCTCCTTCCTCATCCTTGCCCTGCTGCTCCTTCTCCTCCTCCACCTGCAGGGCTTCTGGGACGGACTTCACACTGAGGTACCTGCAGAAAGAACAAAGACAGGCTGTGGCCTCTGCCCGGGGGATCAGCTGGGCCCCAGATGCCCTGGGAGCAGACTCACCGCTGGAGGAGGCCGTGGAAGTCCTGCTCCATTCGCAGCTCCTTGTGCCTGAGTGGGACAGGGAGGCCTCGCGGGCTGAGCTCTGTCTTGCTGCTGCCAAGGCTCCTCTCTCTGTCCACGTGCAGGGAGCAGGGGCCAGCGGTGGGCTGGGCCTGAGACATGGGACCAAGGTTAAACACGGCTTCCTAGCACCACTGGCACTCACCTCATGCTGTGGGGCAGCACAGTATGCTCTACGGCACCTCATCAGCCTGCCACCCTTTTGGGGTGCTCTGTAGTACTGGCTGTGGTGAAATGAGCAACTACTATGTGCAGGCCCGAGACAGACATGACTTCTCACCAGTATGACCCATACATCTGTGCCACCCTACAGACAGGTAACTGGGGGTCCAGTGATTTGTCCAAAGCCACACAGAAGTGAGGAGCAGATTCCAATTCAGACTTCCTGCCGGATGCATCTTTCCTCATCTTTCCATTCCAGCCTGGCCATCCCAGCACCCCCTTCACTGCAGGATCACGGAGCTTTCAAGGTGACAAGCTTGGCTTTCCCTGTTTGTGCACGTGTCTCCTCCTCTGGCCCACACACACTGCAGAGAGTTCCCCCCAACCTCAGGGCCCGTGCTTAAGACTTGTGCCAAGACCCTTCAGCAAATAGCCCATGCCTGGTGGCTCTGACCTGTGCCCATAGCCCCACTGACACCTCAGTACTTCAAGAGAAAGCCTGGGCCCTGCCCTGCCTTCTCTCTGATCCTTCAAATCTAGTTACACAACTTCTAAACCTCTCTCCCTCTGCCCTGCTGCCTCCCTCACCTCAAACTGGTCTATTCACAGACCTCTGAGGTCTCTCCCTGCTGAAAACCCAGTAGTTTAAGACCGAGCCCTTGATGCTACCTCTAAAGCCCCACATGATGAGGCTCCAGCCACATCTCAGACCATCAGCCCCCTCACTTGCCATATGCTGGCCACAGGGCCTTTGCAGGGCTACAGGCAGTTTCCTTGCTAGATGATTTTCCTCTGCTGCACTCATAATTCCTACTCACTCACAGATCTCATTTGTCCTCAGGTCTTTAGGGACAATTTCTTTGACCTCCCTTCAACCCAGTCTATTGGCCTGTGCCTATGCTCAGAGAAGCCTGTAATTCTAGAGCACAGATCAAAATGATAATTACATTTGGAAAACTCCACAAGGGCAAAGGTCCCCTTCCCTGCCTCTTCCCATCCCACCGAATGCCCACCAGGTATCACGGTGTTCGGTTTGTGGCACACATTTCAAAGTGGCCAAATTGTAGCAGCCCACTGTTACAGACAAAGAGGTACCTCTGGGTGTGGGATCTGGCTGGCTGCCGTGGACATGGATGCTTGACCCGAAGGAGCAGGCAGGGGTGCTGGCAAGTGGGGGATGGATGGGACTGGAGTACCGTCCAGAGTCACTTCTGCCCTGGATGGCTCGGGCTCCCGCTGCATCTGGTCCACCTGATCCTGCATTTCCTCCAAGCGGATTCCCAGGTGATAAATCTCTGCCTCCAGCTCCCTGGAACGAGCCAACATCAGCAGTCAGGGCCTGAGAGCAGTAGCAATGCTGGGTACAACCAGAGGTCCATGCCTCAGAGCAGCGGCCCTGGGGAACACCCATCTGGGGTCCCTGTAAAATCAACCTTTGATGATGCTGAGAACTTGAAATAAACAAGATGAGGGAAAACTCCACTGGGACTCAGGAGCGTTAGCCCTGATCACCTCTAGCATCCCCAGGCTGTGAGACCTTAAGTAAACCTGGATCCTCTGCCTCAGTTTCCCTATTTTCCACCCAGAGATTTCAGCTCTTATTTTCAAGGTGCCTTCTCACTGCAGGGCATAAAGGGACACAAATCTGAGTTTCCAAGTGTCCCATTGTTTGGGTGTGCTGCTAATGGGCAGGCGCTTTGTCTCTGTTCCCCTTGGGTATAAATTAGGAGAAGGAAATGCCTTGCTCCCCGTGACGGCGGGCACCCAGGGCTTGGCCCATCTGTCCCTCTGGGCCTGCCTCCCCAGAACGTACCTGCTGGGATCGAATTTCCGGGGTGTCCCCTGGGAGTCGACAAGCTGGGGGGCAGAGGGCAGCTCCCTGCAGGCCCTCAGGTACTCCTCCTCCAGTGCCGTGTGGGCAGCCCTCAGTCGCAGGAAGCCCTGGAACACACAGGCCAAGAGTACCAAGTGCCCAGCTCCACAGCCATGCTGCAGGCACAATGGACCGGCAGTGAGTCGGGTGCTTGACTCACTGGGACCCCTGCCATCACTAGGGGACGGTGGTGGGGGCTGGAAACCTCTGGATGCTGCCTGCCTGGGATGAGCTCTCTGCCATCGGAACCGTGTGGCAAAGGCAGGACTTAGAGCTTGGAACAAGCCCTTCCTGGCCAGACCTATAGGGACCAAATGCGCCATGGCAATTACCCTGTCAAATACATTTTTGCCATGTCTATGTCTCTATGATCAAGTGCTCAAGAGACCCTGGGTCTTCATTCACCATTTGCAAAACTGTAAAAAAAAAAAAATCAGTCACATCACTGTCTTCCCAAGTCCTTATGGATGAGAGACAGATGGCGTTGCCACAGCGTGGTATGTGCGGGTATGACTAACACTGGCTGCAGGGGCTCTGAGCCAGCGCACTCTGCACTTCTTCATCCTCAGCACAACCCTAAAACCACACGGGTACTTTATCATCTTCACTTGAACAAGCTGCGGCTGGGGCACAGGAAGGGTTATTCAAGTCCATGAAATTCTCGCCGTAACTGAGCAAGTTGTATATCTAAGCTTTGAACTCAGGCTTCGTGGCTTCAGAGCTCACGGTCCTAACAGTTATGTGAGGCCCCTGGTAAATGTGATCATAGTTAATCTACCCCTAGACCACGGGAGGTGGGCTCAGTGTCCTTGGCTTTCCATCCCCTTCCCACTAAACTCGGAGGGCAGAATCCAGTTCCCAGCCATGCTTGGTTTTCCAACAGCTCTCAGCCTCCCCAAATATGCAGGAAAGAAGCCAGAGAACAAGAACACGAATTTTTTTGTCATTTGTAGTATTAGATGCATCTGGAGGACATTAGATTCAGGGAAAGAAGACAGGCAGGAAGAGACAAATGGCACATGCTCTCACCTACAAGTAGAAGGTTAAAAAACAGTCTGTCTCACAGAAGAGAATGAATTGTGATTTCCAGTCTGTGACAGGAAAGGGAAAGAGACAGATTATGCATTCAAACTACAGAGAGTAAATCCTAGTGGTCTGCAGCCCAGGGGAAAATGCAGAAACTTATTATATTTTATAAAGAGCTGGGAGAGAGGCAGGCTTGGGCGCCCATTAAAAAAATGATAAACACTTAGGGATTTATGCTTACTCTGCTCTGATCGTTACATGTTGTACACATGTATCAAATGATCACACTGTGCCCCATGATTATGTACAGCTATGAGGTGCCAATGAAAACTCTTTAAAAGGAATGATTTTGATTCTCCACCCGCTTGATGTGACGCATCAAGCATCCATCCATCTGTAGCTGCTAAATGTGTGCAATGTCTACCCAGAACCCTGGGAAATACGCCACAGTATCTCCTTACGAACCAGGGTCCTGCCTCAGCTGCTGCAGGCCCACACCCTGTGTGGGCTCTGTGCCAGGCTCCCTGCTGCTGCCCACTGGCTGGGTCTGTCCAGGTAGAGGGAGGATAAAACATCTCAAAGTGGGAGGAGAGAGCTAGGGAATGGGGATGGCTCAGGGGAGTCCTTGCAGAGTCCCCTGGCCACTGCCTGCACCTGTGCCATCCCTGCCTTTGATCCTTACACTCCGCCTGGAGAGCCCTACCTGCTCCTTCCTGTTGTCCTGGTGGAGGTGGCAGGAGGCCATGCTGCATGTATGTGGCAGTAGATATCAGTAGCTCCAAAGCCCAAAAAAAAGGAGCCATTCACCGTTGGACTAAGGGTCTCCTCCCCTCGATGGACCACACTTTCCAAAATGTTGGCAACCACTTTTATAATGGAAAAAAGGGAGGGCCAAAAAGAAAAGGCCCTTTTCTGCTATTTAGAGACAGGTCCATCAGCAGGGGTGGAGGTCACGACCCCGGACCTGAGAGGCAGGCAGACCTGGCCCTGGCTGTGGGTTGCAGCATCACCATGGCTACCCAGAGCAATGGCTGTAACTGTCTTGTGGGGCATCACAGTGACAAATGGAGTACAGTCCATCCAGGGCTGATCACTGCTGTGCCTAGCTCACCACTCCCAAGCTTCATGTGCGGGTTCCACTGTGATCTGGGGTCATCATCCTAGTGAGCTAAGTGGGAGCTTCTGAAGCTGGGGCTCTTGTCTGTCTCTTGTAGTAAAAGAGGCTTCTGGGGTTCAGCTTTGGGACAGGGCAGTTAGGTGGTGCCGTGGGCATCTCCTGAATGGGGCAGTACCTTGAGTTGGTCCTGGGGTGTGAGCTGCTCCGCCTGCATCAGTCTCTCAAAGGATTCCACCTGCATCGGGAGAGAATAGAAGCAGGCTGTGTTAACCCAGACCCTGGATCCCACACTCAGCCACATCCAGGCTCTGGCCTCATGGACTCAGGGTAGGGGTTTCTGCCAGCAGAGAGTGGGTGCTGGAAATGGGCTCTTCCCTGGCAGCTTTGGAGCAAGTTACGGAAGTTATCAACAATAAAACATTCTCATCCTGAGCAAGAAGACCTATGAGTGGGAGACGGGGCAGAAAGGGCCTAAAATGTGGAAGAGGATGCAGCCACCAATAAGAGCAAGGCAAAGCAGGTATTGTAATGCACAAACATCTCAAGGCCTCTTTTTGTACTAAATGAAGGAGCTACCTAGAAATTCCTGTTGGCTGCCACTTACATAAAATATACAGGAAATAAAAAGAGAAAGAATAAATATGTTTCCTTGTATAGTAGAATTGGTTCCAGGAACACCAGCTCCTGCAGAGATCAAAACCCACGGATGCTCAAAGGCCTCTATAAAACGGCACACGGTATCCATTGACCCCACATGCCCCCTCCTGGGCTGACTTCTTACGGAAGGCACCCTGTGTGCTGTGTGAGGGTCTCCACCATGCCCATCTATTAGCTTCACAAAGGCTGTCTTAATAAGGAAAAGGCAAGGGGTAACTTGGGGTTCACTTGCAGGAAAGCTCTAGGCCAGTGAAATATACAGAAATTTACATAATAATATAATAATACTATGAATATAATTTATGTAATGTGTAGAATACAAAACAAAGTTTTATGGGAGGTTCATTAAGGGTGTACAAGGAAGCCAAGGGTGACAGTGCACCCCTGTAATCTTGGCACTCTGGGAGGCTGATGCAGAAGGACTCGAGCTTAAGTCCAGCCTGGGCAACTCAGTGACTTGGAGTGACCTTGCTTTAAATTTTCTTTTTAAAGGTCTAAGTTGGATGTAGCTCAGTGTGAAGGTCCTGATTCAATCCATAGTACTGGGGGAATAAAGGTGAAACAAGAGAAGATAATTTGAACAACGTATTCCTTTGACTTCAAATACCACTTCAATAGGTGACCACAAGAAAGCAACCAGCGAGACAGTTTCTGTGCAGAGCAGTCACACATCACTCACTGGACAGTCACAGAGAGCACCAGAGGCAGACACGCTTGGCTCTTGCTCTGCGGACCATGCAAGCCAGAAGAGCCGTCCCCTGCTCCAGGGCCAAAAGGGGCTGGATGAAAGGGAAGGAGGACCTGGAACGCTGTTTCCTAAGGAGCCTGGGAAGCCCTGGGCACAGGACAGCTAGTGCCTGAATCGTGGTGGGAAACCTCTGGGGGGCAGCCCACGCAGACAGGGGAGGCAGGAGGCAGGGTTGTGGGGCTCCTGGCTGCTGGATGATGAAAATATTCTAAAAGTGACTGTGGTGACAGCTGCCTATGAGGATACGGAAGACCACTGTGGCACATTTAAAGGGAGGGAATTGTATGGTATGTGACTCACACCTCAGGAAAGCTTTTACAAAAGGAGAGGAGGGGAAGGAGGAGGGGGATGGGGAGGGAGAGGAACAGGCAGCCCTGGTGGTGCACGCCTGTAATCTCCGCATTCGAAAGACTGGGACAGGAGGACACCAGAAGTTTGAGGCCTGTCTGGGCTGCATAGTGAGGCCCTCTCTTCAAACAAAATGGAGAGAAAAGTTGGTGTTTCTCTGAAGGACTTCTCTTTATGGACACGGTTGGTGGTATCATTGGATTTACAGCGACTAGGAAAGTAAAGCCCAAGGGTGGTTAAGTGCTCAGGGCCCAATCGGACACCTTGCTCAGACATTTCACCCTAAATTAATTTATTAATTTGTTTTTCTTTACCCTTACTTCCCCTCTGCCCCGGGTGCCTCACTTCCGTTTTCAGAATGCGGTTAAACGTTATGTATTTTCATAAGCTGCTTTAAGCACTTTTGGAATAAGGCCAAGTGTGCAGTTACAGAGACCTGCAAAAACTCACAGTAAGTTGGAGTGTTTGATGACAACATAAAGACCCTCTGAGAGGCTACTGAGAGTTGAATTCTATGGTGAAATGGGTTTGGACAGGGGCCAGTTTGTCCTGAGGAGGAAAGCGTTGGGGGAGGCTCCCTGGGGTCACCCAGAGATGCCTTCAAGTGCACCTGGAGAGACTGAAACAGGAAGTAATGCCAAAAAAAAGAGGGCTCCAGCTAGTCCTGGTGACACAGAGGAAGAGGAAGAGGAGGAGGAGGAGGAGCTGTTGTGTGGTCCCTAAGGTCCAAGGAGAGACTCAGTGCAGAGGTAGGCAGTGACAGCCTCAAGCCCACATTGCCACCTGTATCTTCCGGGGCAAAGCAGTGACCTACTCACCTTGGCCAGGAGCTGGCTGGCCTGAGAAGCCAGCACCTGGGTCCACTCTGTGGAGGGTTGGGTGGTGGCAGTGCCCTGACACTCTGGAAGCCACCCTGGGGTGGGCATTTTGGCATGCGAGGAGGAGCTCAGTTCTCCTTGGGTTGTTGGCCACCCTAGAAGACACAAATGATGGGGACCAGGACAGTCCTCCAAGGGCTGACAGACTGAGCCACATCTATCCTCACTTACAGCTCAGCCATTTTCACACAGTTCCAGGGCTCAGGCTGGGAAGGGGCTGCCCCTGCATATGGGTGAGAACCAGGTCCCAAGCTGGGAGGAACAGAGCTGAGCCGGCCTTGGGGTTCCCAGTGGTAGCTTGGGTTCTAACTCGGGAACAGGTGGGGTCCAGTCCCAACCCTTCATCACTGTGTGACCTTCAGCCTTGGTCTCTTAATGGTCAAAGGGAGACCACAGTGCGTCCCTCACCAGCAGGTCGTAGGGACTAAACTGAGACCACCTCACAAGTGTCACACTGACTGCCTGGCCTGGCCATAGTCACCATTCTGCACTCCCGACATCTCCAAGATGCCCAGTAGCAGAGTCATGGCCCAGCAAGGTGCCCTTTCTCCCTCCTCTTGACTCCTGCATGTCATAAGGCCCAGACAGCAGCCTCTGTCTTCCCTGGCCCAGGGTGACCAGGCTCCCAGAGCATTTTGACAGGAGGAACCTCCTCCCCAGACTCACCTGCCACCTCCGAGGCTTGGGACTGCTTGGTGGGGCTGGGCCTCCACTCTGCTGAGCGGGGCTGGGGGATGGTGAAGGACAAGACCTTGGTTCCCTGGGGCACCGTCCCCATGTGGATGCTCTGGCTGGGTCGGGGTGGATCTGAGTACAGGTGGATCTGTGGGAGGGGGAGTGGGCAGAGCCCGGTCAGGGTGACCTCTGTTTATCACACCTCCCGCTCAGCAGCTCAGCATTCCCCCTTTCTAATAACAGATCCCACCCTTCAGTGGAGCCCTAGGGTGGCACCCTGCACTGGGCGAAGGGCTTTCATGTCCTTTTGCCTTCTCTTGATGGTTGTCTTGAAAGGGAGGCAGGGCAGGGATCATCAGCCCCATTTTTCAGAAGAGAAAACTAAGATGCAGAGAGGCCAAGACCCTGAATCAGCGCCTCCAGCTAAGTGTTTGGATTATGATTACAACATTTCTCTATCTGATCCCAAAGTGGATGAGTTTTCCACTACGCACAATGGTGATTTACAGTACGTGTTATAACATAGCAATGTTACTGTATAACATATAGCAAACAATAGTTGCTATTTCTTAATTCTAAAATAGTTCCAGTAAGAATTATTATATTGCTAATAAATAGAAATGAGTGACTGTCTGAAGGAATGAGCCACCAAGTGAACACATAAGTCCCCCTGGTTGTGTTTGCCCATCGTTTGAGGATGGGTGGGACAGAGTGAGCTTTACATTCACTGCCACTGCCACCATCACAGCATCACCACCTCCCTGTCATCCTATGACCATCACCACCATCCACGCTACCATCACCACCGTCACCTTTAATTGTATCACCATCATCACCATCCACACTACCTCATCACCATCATCGTAACGACTGTCATTTCTATGGACATTTCTGTGGACACCATAGAGGCAGCTCCACCGAAAAGCCACACTCCGGGGGTGACTTGGTGCCTCATTATGTGTCAGGGAGCTTATCCTGTTTGTCCCTGCAGCCCCAAGGGGACCAGGCAGCAAAGGATGCTGGCTGAGTGCCTTTGGGTTGCCCAGCAAGGAGCCTCTACTGTCTACACTGTTCTTCAGGACCCAGCTACAGCGGAAAAATCTACTCCCAAGTGTGACTTGGCCTCACTGCCTCCTCCTCCTCCTGCTGAGCCAGATGAGAACAAAGCTGGATTTTAATAATCCCTTTGGCCATCTGCTCAGACCTGCCTGTGGGGGGTTGCCTATCAGCGCCCTGCTCTGCCCAAGGTGACCCAAATCCCAGGGGAGGGCTGCCTCTCTGTGCCCTAGGTCCCACCTGCGCAGCAGCAGGGAAACTCACAGCAGGTGGGGATGGACCCTGGAGGGCAGTGGCTTGCTCTCTATTTTAGGATCAAAGAGGAACTAGAAGCAGAGAGGCCCAGGGCCTGGGCAATGCCCAGAGCAACAGGTAATAGCAGAGGGTGACCCTGTTGAGCTGCTCAGCACCTCTCTGGGCACAGCTGGACCCATTCCCTGGTGTCCAGGGGGTCCGCAGCAGTGTGCCTGTGCAAGATTGGCTTCTTCCGGTATTCTGGGCAAAGAGGAGCAAAGAAACACTGGGTTAAACAAATGAGTATTCTCGGCACAGCTGGGCTCCTCACATCCTTTCAGATGCTAATAGACATTATGAATGGGGCAGGAGGGGGAGAGCAGACAGAAGGGAGCGGATCCTCAACTTACAGCACCACACAGAAGCCTCCCACATCCCCCTCCCAGCCCCTCCAGGGGCTTCTGGACCAAGAGGGACAGTCAGAACACACTGGGGAATGGTGGTCTTGTGTCCCTCTCCCAATTCCTTGGGGGGTATCCTCTCAGGTCTTCTGCAACCTCCTGTAGCTCAGGTGGAAGAAAAGAGGCTGAGGGAGGCAGTGACAGGGTACTCAATGTAGTAACATCACCATAAACTGCCCAGCAGCCTGCACAGAGAGACCAGAGCCCACCAGTGACCCCTAACTTTGGTCCTGGGTCTCTTCCCTGCAGCTCCCATCCCTAACAGTTCCCTGGTCCAGATCCAGACCCCCACGCTGGGTCCACTGTGTTCCCAGGTGGGACAGTCATCCTGGCCTTGCTGCCACTGCCATATGAGTGCACTGGAGAGCGGGCTCTGCAGCCAAATCGTGAGACCCAAGTGCAGGCTCTGGTACCTATGAGTTGAGTGATCCTGGCAAGTTGCCTAATGTCTCTGTGCCCAGCTGTAAGTCTCTTCAGACAGCATCACTTCCTGCCATTTTCATCACTGTGATGGGCCTTGTCCCTGTGCAAGCTGGGCTGGATGTATGCAGGCATGGGAGGAACACCCACCATGCAGTCAGGGGACAGAGGGTCCGGTCCCATCCTCGCCCCTCACAAGGGTGCAGGATGTTGAGCAAATCCCACCTGGCAGCCTCAGCATCTGCAGGAGCAGGGCACTCCCTGAGATCTCAGTGGCCTGGGCCTGGCACCTCTGAAAAGCTCAGCAATGTCTCCTTCCTGTGGTCCCTACCTGTGCCTGCACGGGCCTGGCTCCCTCCCCGGTGAGCCCAGTCTCCAGTGGGCACTAAGCAGGACAAAGGGAGCTCTGCAGTCCCTGGAAGGTCACGTGGGGTGCTCAATCTGAGGAGCATCTCATGAATGGGCTTCCCAAAAGGGGATCTCGGGTGGCTGCCCTCTGGGGTCCCCTATGCCTTCAGGGCAGAGGGCAGGCCTGCAGAGTAAGGACTCCTAGCTGCCCTTGGGTGTGTGTGATCTGGGGTCCTGTTCTCTGCTCTGCCAGGGTGGTGGCAGTGAGATGGGACTGGCAGAGTGTGGCTCTGTGTGCAGCTGTGCATCCCTTTGTCCCTCTGCTGAGGAAAGGGGGTGAGGGAGCTGGCTCTGCAGAGCCTTTTCCGGCCTCTCTCTACTCTCTCTGTTGAGCCCCTCACCAACCAGCTGGGCTCTGGGTACCAGCCAGGCTCCCTGGAGCCCATGGAGAATCCTGGGGCTGGGGAGTTGCAGGAGAGGAGGTCCCGTCGAGGCCCCGTCTCTCCAAGGTACCCATGCAGCCTGTGCCCATGAGTGTGAAGAGAGCAGCAGCAGGACTTTACACTGGCGACTTCCCCACCCAGGGAGGCACCCGCCAAGCACCAGGCCAGTGGAGGGGGCGGTGCGGACACAGAGATGCTGAGGCAGGAGAATCCCAGAACAGGCCTCCTTCCACGTTCTCACCAAGAAAAGCCTCTGAACCTTGAGGGCGGGCACTTGGTAGTGTCCTGGGGTGTGGCAGGGTGGCTCTGCCTAGGAGGGTGGCAGGACCCTTTGAGAAGGAAGGCAGCCCTCAGCCACCGCCCCTCCTCCACAGCTGCCTGAGGGGGGAAGGGGGATGGGGAAAGCAGGAAGCCACAGGGGCTGCAGCAGGTTCCACTTCCTGCCTCACCCAGAAAGAGGAAGGCCCAAGAGCAGTCTGTGCAACCTCCTCCCAAGATGGACCGCCCACTCTCTGACCACACAGGCGGGGAGAGGCCATAGGGGAGACAGTGGTGGCCACAGGCAGAGACGACGCCCAGGTAGCCACACAGATGCAGAAGGCAGTGAGCGGCCTCTCCCTAGCACTAAGGAAAGAAAGCCACCTTTGGGGGCCCAGCCCAGCCAGTACCTTGGCCCCGAGGCGCAGCTGGTCAATGGTGTTCTCAGCCTCGGCATACTTGGTGAGGAGCTTGTGGTAGTCTTCCTGTGGGAATGGAAAGCAAGGCGGTCATGCCAAGCACACAGCACACCCCACCATGAGCGCCCTCCATGGGGGCTCCTGGCTTCCTCTGTGAATTTCTCAGAGGGAACTGTGGAGAGTGTCAGGCAGGTGAGCACGTCCTCCACTGGCCTGCAGGTGTCTCTCCTGGCTTCTGGCAGGTTTACCTTAAGGCTCTACCCCCAGGATGGGACACTTCCTTGTCTGCTCAAACTCCTTGCCCATCTACTGGCTCTCCCGCCACATCCACGCTCCTCACTGCCCTGTTCCCACAGCTTCTGTGGCATGTGCTTTAAAAGCGTTTTTTAATGACTGGGCATGGAGGTGCATGCCTACAATCCCAGCACTCAGGAGGCTAAGGCGGGAGGATCACCAGGAATTTGAGGCCAGCCTGGGCTACATAATGAGTTCAAGGCCCACCAGAACTACATGGTGAGGTCCTGGTCTCAAAAAACCAAAGTGGGGGTCGGGGGAGGGAACCAACCAAATAAAAATATTTTCGAATACTGGTGACTCACACAACAGCCCCTCAGCAGGTTCATCTCAGAGTCCCTTGTTATCAACAAACCCACAGGTTCATTAAAATGAGTCATTCTAGGCAAAGGGCAAACACAGTGGGCCCTGGTCACCTTTAGAGGAGGTGACTGAACTAAATCAGTGTTCCAGCAATGTGCAGTTAAAAGGACAGAGTCGAGCATCTCTCCGGCCTTCCCCATGTGAACAAGACCTTGGTAACCATAGAGGTGAGGAGGGGAGATTTTAGGTACTGCAAAGTTAGTAGCAAATAAGGCAGAAGTGACATCAGAACACTGCCATTTTTTCTCCCCAAATGAAGGCTGGATTGGGACAATGAGCATCAGGGGCTGTGAGTATCAAGACCAACAACTCTGCGGGGTCTGTGCCTCCTCAAGGGCCTCCCGGTGATATCTGCAGCGATCGCTGCCTCCCCCAGGAGCTCGTGGTCTGGAGGGGAAAGAGTCACACACAAGCCAAGGATGCGCTTGCTCTAAACCTACTGGGGGAGAGAGAGGAGGACAGAGTTCTCTTCCGGGCAGAGCTGGTCTCAACATCAGTTACAGGAAGAGGTGACAGCAGGAGGCATTTACAGATTAAAGGATTAAAAGAGATCAAAAAGAAGAAGCTGCAAACTAAACCAAAACAAAAACAGTAACAACAAAAGAAAGAGAAAGGGAGGGAGAGACTTAACAGGCAGGAAGAGGACCAAATGGCAGGGAGGAACTCCATTCAGATTCGGATTCATAGGCACACAGCACTGATGAGACAGACACACCAAGATCTGAGTGCTAACCTGGTATTTGATAACAGTACTACAGAACTGGCATTGGCCATGATATTGTGGCTATGTTTGAGATAAGATCCTTATCATTAGACACTAAAATATTAAAGGGTGGGACGCCTGAGATATTGCTTTAAAGTAACCTAGTGGGGCCCAGGGAACAAGGTCAAGCAGACAGGAGGCAGGCTGCCAGGGGCTGCCAGCGAGGAGGTGGGTGAGGTCGGGACCAGGTGGGCAATCAGTATCCTACCTTCTAGCCTACATATATTTGAATTTTTTTAATAGAAGTTGGAAACAGAGCATCCTTGAAACCTGAGCCCAATCACTGCTTATTTTGAGTAAAGGCCTTGGGTTTGTCTCCTGGCTCCCCACGACCCTCCCTCCATCCCCCAGCCAGGGGTCCTGGCCTCCCACTCTGGCCTGTTTCCATCCCAGGCTGATCCACCCAGAGACCGGAGTCCCACTCACCTGGAGCTGATGGACCAGCTCTGTGGCTTGCTCAGGTGTCTGAAACTCCTGGGGCACCATGGTGACAGGATGGGCAGAGTGTGGGTCCTTGGCCAGGGACACGTCTCCGCTGTTCAGTAGCACCTCTCGCACGATCTCAGCTGGTGATTTGAAGATCAGGGGTCCAACAGAGCCTTGAGGCTCCCTGTTGTGGCTCTTGGACTTGGGGGGTCGGTAGCTCTCATCTTTGGGGAACCTCACCCGGGGTCCCACCTTGGAGAAATCAGGGAGTGGGTAATTCAGACGCCCCCGGCCATACTTGGGGGCATCAGACGAGGAACGGCCAGCCAGAGTATCCCCCTGCCTGGGCTCTGATCTGTCCTTCTGGGCCGGCCTAGGCCGAGGGGTCAGAGGGCTGCTGGAGCCAGTGAATCGGGAGGGCAGTGGCTCAGGTGATGTCTTTGTCCACCTGCAGGTTTGGCCCTTGAGCTGTGAGCTGGGCAGGCTGGCAGGCTCTGCCCTCCATCTACCTGCATCACTCTGGGGGCTCTGGGCTGGCAGAGCTGAGGATCCCTGGAATTCCGTAGGTGTCACCGGGGCAACGCCATCTCCAGTTCTGTCATCTGGGGGTAGGAGGTGGGGGCTGGGGCTCCGTGGCAGGATTTCTGCTACGGCAGAGGACAGAGGGATATCAGTCTCTCCTTCCCAGGTAGAATCAAGGCTGTCACTAGGCTGGCCAAGGCTCACGGTGCCACTGCTCCAGGATCTGGCCAAGCTGAGTTCTGCGGGTGGGTTGACCTCTGAATGCTCCGAATGCTTGTTTCCACTGGCTGCTTTGCTAGAGGCCACCCAGTCTCTGGCCTGACCCCACCCCACATCCACGGCGCTGGGGTTTTCATTGTCCTCTGAGCTGGGGTCAGCCTCACACCCCAACCGTGGGGAGCTCGCCCCAGCTTCCTTGGCCTCAGTACTTGTGGGGGTCACATCTGGCTCCTTTTCACACATGTCGGGTTGATGGCCCTGCCAGGGGTGCCAACTGAGAGGCAGGGGGGAGCCCTCTGGACTGTCCACATCTTCTGAGCTGTCCACATCCTCTGCTTCAACCTCTGAAAGACAAGTCATTCATTTCATAGCATGCACTGGATCTGGACTCACTGTGCAACACTACTCCAAGTAACTTTGACTCTAGTTTCATTTCCTTCTCACATGACAACAGCAAGAAGCATGGGGAGCCCCGACTTAGGTGACACCTCTTCTGTGGTCTCAAAGGACCTTCAAACTCAAACCTCAAATCTTTTCAACCCAGTATCTCCCATCTCAGCAAATGGCAATGCCATTCTGCAAGATGAAAGTGTGGGAGGCATCTTGGTCCTCTCATCCACCCTAGTTCCCCTAATCCAATCTGTCACTTTGCATTGTCATTGTCACATTTACCCCTACAGGGCTCTCAAACTCTCTCACTGCTCTGAGCTCTCCCTCTCCTCCCCACTTGTGCTTAAGCCAGCGGCTTCTTGTGCTTGGACCACTGCAGTAGCCACCTAACCATCTCCTCAGTCTGCACCCTCATTCTCCCCTGGAAACTCACCAGTGTCCTCCTGCTGTTCTCAGGTCAGAAGCCCAGCCTTCCCTATGGTCCCACAGTTCCTGCCACTCTGACTCCATTAGTTCCGTGAGTCGGTCTCTTTCTGTGGCCCCCTGGTCTCTTCTCCGCCATGTGCAACCATGAGTGCTGTGCATGACCTCATCCCTCTGCCAGCAGCTGCACCCCATCAGCCCCCATCTGTCTTCAGACACCAGCTGTGGCCATGTGGGTGAGTCTGCCTCTACCACTGGGATCTCGCAGTGGGATGAAGAGTCAGAGAGCACCTGGTTCACCCCAGCTCCCCTAACCCCTCCCTGGGGCCAAGGGCAAGTTGCTGACCTTTGGCAGTCCTTACTCAAGCTCCTACCTGGGTAGGATGGTGTGGGATGGTGTTGGGGGAGGGCAAGAAGGCATGGCCATGCCCAGCCCTGTGAGGGTACAGGACATGGAGCAACTGTTATATCATAGCAGTGTGACCCCAGAAAGACACACCTCTGCCCTGTCTCCCAGTGCATCTCAGTCCCCATTCCCTGGTGGAGAGTTCAGAAATACTTCCAAGGAGGCAGCTGGGACAAACGCTGATATAAGGATATTAGGTACGTGACAATCCACTGCCAGCCTAATGGTCTCTCTACCATACACATGGGATCTGCTAATTCACAGGTCACAGGAAACAAGGAAGTTTCATTCATAATTGAAAAGCAATAGTGCCTACCTGTCAAGCTCTTATCATTCTCAATGGAGTTACTACTCCCATTTCCCAGCGGGGGAAATCAAGATTCTGGGGCAGAGGGGATTTGCCAAGCAAAGCTTGGAAGGGGGCCTAAGTTGTCCATGCAGATTCCAGTCATTGTAGAAAACACAGAATGTTAACATTCCCATTGCCAAATGGGAATTTTTAAAAAATGAGCATAATCCCTGAGCAAAATAATTCAAATTACCAAGGCTATTTCCAAATCAAGTGTGCAAAACTGTGTTAATTACTTCCATCTCTGCATTATTTACAGTAGCAAAATTAGAAACTGCCTTATTTCCAGCACTAGTAGACTGGCCCAACAATTTATGTATGCAGGCAGGCAGTAGGTGTGCCTTGCAGAATATTTGGAGAACTGGGAAAATGTTCCTATCTATTAAGTAAACAAAAGAGCACGTGACAGTGCAGTCTGCAGAGTGCTATTCAGATTCATATTGCATTTGCATATCTGTACTTATGGAAAAGAATGGTGACTGAGGAGAGGATAAAAATTCTTACATTCTATCTCTTTTGCTTGTATTTTCTACATTTTTGCAATGAACAATATTACTCATACAGTTGACATCTTTAAAAATTTTAAGTTATAGACTTAGTAGAATTTAATTTCTGCCCTTGCTTTGCTGGAAGATAGGACACTCCGGGGACAGGACACCCGTGTAGGGTACAGGAGTCAGCCTCACCTTCTCCTGAAGACCCTCCCAGCTCTCGCAGGTCCAGGTTCCACTCCAGGGGTAGCCCGTGCTGCTGTGCCAGGCGGAAGTCCTCCAGGAGCTCTGGGCTGGTGGTGCCCAGGAAGGGCTGTGCATCGTCACCCCAGCCACATGTGCTGCTTCTATCTGCATCTTTCTCCTCCTCGGCCCAGGCCCAGCGTCGCCGCCGCTGGGGTCCCTTCCCCAGGCCAGGCCCCGCCCAGCGCACCTCTGTCCCTGAGCTGGCCATGGGGCCTGGCATTCACCTGGGCCACTTCATCTTCAGGAGACTGGGCTGCTGCTGCCCCACAATCACCGGCGGCTCCTCTCAGAGTCAGCCATCCCACCCGTGGCCTATTGGGGATATGATCAATAGACAACGTTAATCCTTGGCCTCTCCTTCATTCAGAATAAGAATTTACCAGTTGGCTGAGCCTCAGGAGTCAAATGGTCTTGGTTCAGCTGCCTGCTCATCCTGCCAAAGCTGTGTGACTGGGGCGAGTTATTTTGCCTTCATCTGTTTTATCAGTAAAACTGAGATGACACCTCCTTTCCCTGTCCAGGGTTTTATGAGACTGCCTGGGATGCAGGATAAGACACCCTGACACTAGCAGGTGTTTGACGTCACTGCGTGCAAGGGTGCTGGGTAATAGGCATGGGCCCCGCTCACAGGAGAACTGACAGCCCAGGGAGGGGCGACAGACAGATACCCAGAAACTACAAACTACAAACTCCAGGCGAGAAACGATGGGAAGGCCCAGGTCTGGATGATGCAGGCCAAGGAGGGAAGGAGACAGCCAAGAAGCCACTTCCTCTGAGAATCTTTCCTGTCCTCCCTTGTATAAGAGTTCAGGTTGACGGTGAAGGGATGGTAAGAACATATTAGTTCCCAAAATAATTGAACACAGGTGTGCAAACAAATATAGGGCCACACGTATCCAGCCAAGAGGAGGAAAAGAGCCCAAGGGTCCACCAGATGAATGGATAAACAATTTGTGGCATCTCCATGCAATGCAATGTTACTCAGCCATAAAAAGGAATGAAAGGGGCAAATGAAAAGAAAAGAAGTCCTGGCCCACACTACAAACAGATGAAGCTGAACGCATCACACTAAATGACAGAAGCCAGATACAGAAAGCCACGTAGTGTAGGATTCCATGCATAGGCGATGCCCACCCTAGGCAAGTCCACAGACAGAAAGTGGACTGCTGGGTGCCAAGGCTGAGGAAGAGAAGGGCAGTCCATAACTCTGTAATGGGCATGGGGTTTCCTTTCGTAGGACAAGGATGTCTTAGAATGGATGGAGGGATGCCTCCAACACCGAATGTCACAGAATTGGTCCCTTTTAAGTGGTTAACTTTGTGTTATTTGAATTTGATCCAAGCACCTGACACCGAAGTGTTTTCTGGGGGGCTGGGGTGGGGGACCAGGGGCTGGATACAATGACGTCAGGGAGAGCAGGATGGCAGAGAACAGACCCAGGCTGGCCACTCTGGGGCTGTTCAGACCCAGATCCTAGGTGCAGCTTAGAAGTTTCTCTCTGCTACTCTGGGAGAAGCAGGACAGGAAGTCCGGTTGCAGACCGGCATGCTAGGAGGGACTTTGGTGGCAGGGAAGGTTGGCCCAGGAAGGGCTCCTCTTTGATCTTTCTCTCATTTTCTCTCCTCCCTCTTATCTCTCTTTGCCTCTGCCTCTCCTCCTGTTTCCAACACTTTCCCAGCGCTTCCTCTATGCCAAGCTCTGTGCCAAGCTAAGAAGCACACAGCACACCCCAGGAGCTGCTGGCCATGGAGGATTCAAAGAAGCACACACAGTCCATTCATGTGGAGGCTCACACAGAGGCCTCTCCTGCAGGTGGGAAACTGAGGCCCAGAGACGGCAGGCTGTGGAGGTGGGGTTGGGGCAGCCACACAGGGACCAGGCAGGCGGGGGCCGGAAGTCAGCCTCCCCACTCACAGTGTGAGCCACGTGGAGAACAACTAAGGCCTTTGCAGACAGACTGTCTGTGTTTGTCCTTCTGCCTCGTGAGCTCTTGGATCCTGATCAGCAGCGTTGATTTGCACAGTTGGGAAAAGTCAGCAGGCAACTATTTCTGTGCACCAAGTTCCCCAGGGAACGCAAAGCTCGGAAAAGGCCAGCTTCCCAAGGGCCAGGAGGGACAATGGTAACTCCCCACTCTGGCTGCACCCCAGCTCCACACATGGGGCTCAGGGCCTCTCCTCTGCCTCCTGCCTCCTATCCTGTCCTTTTCTCTACCCAGCAATGCAGAGCCCTGGATTCCTCCACACCGCCTGAGTGTCACCCCATCTCATAACACAACCCCCATATGCGTCCCTACTCTGCCACCTTGGCTAGATCTTCTCAGTCTGTCTTCAAATGACAACCTGAGGCTCAACAGGGAACAGTGACTTGGCCAAGATCACTGCTTGATCAATGTCAAGGTCTGCAACTGTCAGTCCTGGCCTGGGTACCTTGTTTTTATTGTTTTCAATCACACAACCCACCAGTAAAAATATATTGGTTCACATACATACAGGTGTGTATATTCCTTATACTTATAACATGTTATGAGAATTAGAAAGAATATTTCCAAGCCAGGTACAGTGAGTGGCACAGGCCTGTAATTAAAGATACTCAGGAGATTGAGGCAGGAAGATCTCAATTTGAAGCCCAGTCTGGGCAATTTATCAAAACTGTCTCAAATAAAATGGAAAAAAAAAGGTGGGGATGTAACTCAGTGGTGGAGTGGTTGGTTACCTAGCACACGCAAAACCCTGCATTCAGTCCCCAGCACAGAATTTTTTTTTTTTTTTTCCCAAAAGCAAGTACCTTAAGAACTCTAATAGAAGTTTCCTGCGTAGACATTTTGGTCTTCACTCCCCACGCCCTCTGCATGGCTCCCTCCTGGAAACCCCGGGCTCCTGGTGATCTTCAGCCTGAGCCTGCTGAGACCTCCCAGCATGCAAATGCTTGGGGCTGCCTGCAGAGAGCCCAGCTCAGGAACCTGCCACGGGGCCCAGGAACTTGCATTTTAACCAGGGGCCTCAGGCAGAGCTGTCCTTAGCAGCTTCTGGGCCCTCTCCTGGCTTTGCTGCCGAGGCACAGACTGGAGGTACTAGGGTTAAAGGTGCAGCCTCTGCTTTTCTGTCTGAAATGCCACTACGGAAGGGGCCCAGGGGTGGGAGTGAGGGTGGGGGATCGTGTGGTTTTCTGACTTTTAAAAGGGCTTTTTCTAGCCCTGCCACAGAGTAGCCTGCCCAATCACAGAGGCCTCTGCGAGCACAAAGAGGAACATCCTGTCTTCTGGGATGACTCAGAAGTCACAAAAATCTCACTGCAACCAGGGGATGCTGCATGTCTGAGGCAGCTGAAGTCACTGGGTGCAGTTTTCCAGGCAAGTGTGTCCCCAGGCCTCTGAATCTGTGAGCCTTTCCACGCAAGCCCAGCCGACGGCAGCACAAAGCTCAGGACTGGCTAGTCAGTCAACAAACATATATTAGTGCCAACCATGTGCCAACTTCAGGTTGGGACCGAGTGGTGACAGAGACTGGGTCTCTGCCCTGGAGTGGCTGCTACTCACACTGCTGGGCTGACACTGTCCCAGGTGTCCACGCAGAAAACTCCAGCTGCCCTGGCTACTGCAAGGGGTTTGGCCCTGCTGGGGCAGGTGGGAGGCAGGGCGTGTGATAAAGGAAGGTTGACTGAGCCCCTCCTCCTTCCTGAGGTTGCATTTCAGAGGACCAAAGATACACACTGAGGGGTGCAAATCAACATTTTGGTGAACCCTAGGACTACTCAAGACACAAGGGACAAAGAAAAGAACAAAAGCTTTCCACAGCAGGGAGGGGTCCCACATAGAAGCAAGCTTAGGGAGGGCCAGAGAAACAAAGTGGGTTTGGGGGAGCAGTGCAAAGAAGGGAATTCCAGGCCCAGGGAACAGCACAGGCAAGGCTTGGCGGTCTCATATGAACTTGAAGGGCTAGGGCGGGCTCCTCGCAGGCCAGACAAAGGCTGTGTGGCTTCAGGTGGCCTACGTCGCTCTGCGGAAGGTTCTAGCCATGTAAATGGGAGCTGATTCCCCAAGCCACATCATCCCTTCTGCTCCCTCAAGGGTTGTGCAGACCACTGTGGTCTTTTCTCAGTTCCTGAGTGAACCCAACTCCTCCCAACCACCCCCACCCAGAAGGGGGCTTCTCTGCACCCTCAGCCATCGTCACAAAGCCTGGGACCCTTCCCTTTATGGTCCCATATCTCAGACCCTCCCAGACTGCAGGGTGCATCTGGCCAGTACAGCCATTTCTGTCCCCTGTGGCCTCTGAAGCCCCTTCCCATCCAGCCAGGGCTGTCCAGGGCACTGTCACCACTTCCACCTCCATCTTGATATCTACTAAATGAGGAGACTTGAGGTCCAAGACTGAAGACCTCAAGACCTCACAGCCAGGAAAGGCAGCCCAGGGGTTCAAAGCTAGGGTGCTGTCTCTCGGATGCTGAGGCTGGCAGACTCTTGAGGGAGGACGAAGGGGAAGAAAGATCCCATATCAATCAAGTGGCAGGGCCCAGCAAAAAGCCTGGGCTGGTGAACTCAGTAGCCAGTGACACCCTGGCAGGGCACAGAACTGCTGGCTGACCCAAAGCCCCAGTCACCCTCTCAATGTGCCCCTGCTCCCAAGAGAGACAGAAAAGATGCCCGAGTTGTTTCAGACTTTGTTCTCAGGCCTGCCTGTCCTCAGACCCCCCACCCCCACCCCCAACACTGCTCCTTGTTGCTGTGCTTAGGCGGCAGAAAGGGCCACTTCTGGGGAGGGGCACAGGGCCTCCACTGCCTGCTGACCTGTCCCCACCCTGCGTGTCTGAGTTCCCTTAGCAACCACAGCACTAACTCCACAAGCCAAGTACACCCTCGGCACAGAGAGGGATCACTGCTCGCCCAAGTTCTCCGGGGAACAGAAATCAGAGCTGAAACTGCAATCCAGCATCCCGAGATTGGACAAAATCCCCCTAAAATCCACCCTGATCCGGAACAGGGCTCCACTAAGACAGAGAAGTGACAACAGCTGCGCAACAGTGACTTCCTGGCGCGCTGGTCGGGCTGCCTGGGCTGGGCTGTCCGGAGAGCCTGTGACTGGCCCGTCCAGTCCTCCAGTCCGAGGGAAGGCGGACTCCCGCCCGGCCCTCCTCCTGTGTCCCCAGCTCCCTTACCTCGATTTGCCTTCATCAGTGCCCTGCCGGCCAGGCCTCAAGAGACCTGCCTGTGAGGTCTTTGTTCCAGACGTGGGGAGCCCCCGGCCTCCATCGCGCCCTGGCCCGCCTCCAGGCAGCTCTGCCAGCCCAAGCTGCGGCTCACAGACCAGCATCGCTCCCCACTTCTCCCCGCCCCTGAGCAGCTGAGGCGCTGCTGCTGCCTCCTCCTCTTCACAGGAAGCGCCCAGCCTGATTTCCTACAAGTGTTCCTCAGAGGGAGGGGGTGAGGAGTGTGTAGCCAGGAGCCAGGAGCCAAGAGCCAGGAGCTTAACCCTTTGTGGGGCAGGAGAGGGCTCCTGGAAACTCTGGATCTCACCCTCTAGCCCCCCAGTACAGCCTGGGGACCAGAGCCCAGAGAAGGCAAGCTGAGGCTGGGAGAAGGCTCCTGCACCCTCAGCTCCCACCTTGGGAGCTTCTATAGCTCCCCTCTCCAGGCCCTCTTCAACCACACATGACCTTGGACATGGCTCTCTCCCTTGCTTAGGCCTCTACCGTGGGAGCTTGTATTCACCCTTCTAGCTCTTACTCTGTCCTCCCTGTCAGTATGAATCCCAATCTCAGGGAGGCTGCAGTGATTCATGCCATCTCAGCCACTGTCCTCACCCTCAGTGTACCTGCTAGGTAGAATTTTCCACGTACCATGGAGGTAGGGAATGGGCTGATCCATTGATTTTGCCGTGTTGCAGATTCCCTCCTGGGGCTTCCCAGAGGTTAAAGGACAGATGAAGCCTGATGCCCAATCTATCTTTCCCCAAGTTGCCCTCAGCAGATCATTCACTCACCAGGCTCCTACGGCATGGCAGGGCACAGGAGAGCCACATCCTCTCTCTACTCCAGTGCAGACATAGATGGTAGTGCAGCGCGAGTGTGACTTCCGGGAAGGAGGTGTGCAGGACACAGCAGGGCAGCGGGGCTGACACTTTAGGTCCCAGGCAGTCTTGGATGGCTCACCCAGCCCAGAGGGATCAGTCTCTGGCACCAGCAATTTCAGGCATCCCATGTGGCTGGGACACAGGCCTTGGGAGAGGACCCAGGACAGAGAGTAAGGGGTTGACGAAGAAGCTTAGGACCAGGAAGGTGTCTGCAAGGAAGCGACAAGCAAGGAACTGGAAGGAAGGTGGGGCCCAGGCCAGCGGCAAGCAGGGCTGTGCTGAGCATTCTGAAAGGGAAGTGCAGAGGCCCTGGCTGGGGGCTGCTGTGTCTGGAGACCAGCAAGGCCAAGCACCCAGAGCGAGAGGCAGGAGCATAGATACCTGGCTCCCAAGTGTGACTTCATCTCGGCTCAGAAACTCGAAGTCTGGAAACAAGAATAAAACGCACAAGAATGGCCTCTGAACTGCCGAGGAACCCGCTTGGTGACCGGTGAGCAGCCAGGTTCTGGAAGCACCTGTCAAACAGAATGAGGACTCTTAGGGCCCACGGGGTTTGGGCTCCATCTCTACCTCTCTGCTGCTCCAGTGGGCATGCGCGCACACGGGGGCGGGGGGAGGGGGCTTTCAAAGCTTCATCTCTTTAAGCCTCTGTTTCTGATCTGAGAAATGGGGACAAGAAAAGTAGCTCCCTGCCAGACTGTGTTCAGAGTTTCAGGTAGCAAAGCCTGCCAAGTGCAGGACAGAGGACTGGGAATGTGCTATCCCTTACCCCGGTGTTTAGCTTCTGCAGCTACTGCTTAGGTACAAGAGTCTCTGGTTGCTCAAGGATTAGATCTGAATGCCCTGCTTTGAACCTGGCATATTGGTTATGGGTAATGAATGTGTCCACTGAATGAATGAATGAATGAATGAATGAATGAATGTATGAATGAACAAATGAAATTTCTCAAGATCAGCTTGTGAGTATCTAGCTGAGCCAGGCACCCTCATCCCACTAATTTCTTGTCTCCTGCCTTTCTGTGTATCTGGTGGTGGGCTCTACCATGGAGCAGAGCTAGACTCTAATGAGGTCCCTCCCTGACAGCTCTGGTAGCCATGTGGGCCATTGTGCTGGGGGTGGGCTCCCTGACATCTTGTCACTCACTCATCATCCTCCCTGTCATTAACCCAGGCAGCCCTGCCATCAGTGCCAGGTGGCTACCGATGCTGGCCACGCCCTATAGCCCTGGGGTGCCCCTTCTAGGGGCAGCCTCCATGCCATCTCCTTGCCCCACTTCCCACCTGCCTTGTGCATGCAGTGATGCTGTCCCTGCTCATGGAGCCGGAGCAGCACATGCAAAGCTGAGCTCCTGACAGTGCCCCCACCAAGTCCACATCTTTCCTGTGAACTCAAAGCCAGAATGCACAGTCACACTGGCTACTTGTCAGCCTTTCTAGGACAGTGCTCAGCTCTCCATCCCATCCCCATCCTGCACCCATGGGAGTGTTCAAAGCACACACTGCCTGCCATAAGTGGCCCCTCCAAGCTTAAAGCATGGGAGTGGCTGTCTATTGCCCTGGGAAAGTAGATGCCACTCCCACCTGACTGCTGCCCAAGCCTCCTTCCCTTGCCTGAGAGCATTAGAATCTGGGGCAGGGGGTTCTTTGCAGGTCCTGGGACAGGCATCCTGCTCCTCCTCCCCACCAGCTCCACATCTCCCTGTTATTTCTAGGTGACCTACAAACCTGGCTCTCTTGGGCTCTCCTGGGGGCTCACCATTCAGATTTATGCTATGACGATCTGACTCACATTGGTTCCTTGGCTCAAGTGGTAGTACCCTCACTGCTATGTCCTCTGCACCCAGCAAGGGCTGACACACAATAGAAATGCCAAAGGTGTACCTGCGTTCATCCACTAACCCTACCTACTTGCCCCACCTGAGCTGTAGCCCTCTAACAATACAAGGAGCCTGGTTCAAGCACTTATTTTACACTTGGGCAAACAGAGTTCCCTAGCACCCAAGCAATTTGCCCAAGGTCACAAAGCTGGCGAGCACCAGTGGAGATTCAAACACCCAAGGACCCAGATCCTAGGACCGAGCTGGGTTCACACCCTGCAGCCTGCAGAGGTCATTAATACCTGTGCATGGTGAAATCAAGAATGGCACAGGACCAGCTAGCTAACTGCACCATGAAGCTCACTGACTTCATAACAAGGTGCTGCTTCTCAGTGCTGGGGTCTCACAGAGGTCTTTCTCCTGCTTCACAGTCTAGAGGGAGGTTTAAGAAGGGCTTTGGGAAGTGGATGCCACAGAGGTATTATTCTGTTGTGCAGATGAGCAAATTGAGGCTCAAGAATTGCAAAGGCCTTCCTCAGCCAGCTGGGCCATGGGTTATGGAGGAGGGTGTGGCCATAAGAGAAACTCTGACACTCTCTCTCTCATGTTCTTTTCCAAAGGCCAATTAAAAAAAAAAAGATGCATGTGCTCAGAATGTATAGCTAAAAGCAAAACTTTATTGAGCACAGTGTATGTGTTAAATACCTCATAAATGTCTTCCCATGGATTTATTCTCAGTATTCAATCCTCATCTCAATCCAAGGAGATAGAAATTTTACAGGTGAGCTTGAACCAGGCTGCCAAATCCAGAAAGCACAATCTTCATTATATTGTGACTGAGGATTACAGTAGGCGAAAATGTTGGGAATAATCTAAGTTCCCAAGAATAGGGGAAGACAGAAATTATGATATTTCTACTCAGAGGAATGCATACAGCTAGTAAAAACCATGCTACAGAAGAATAAAAAATAGTGTTAAAATCATGCTATGTAAAGTGAGCAAGCCCATTATAAAACTATGTGCTGCCCAACTGGATCCTCATAAATAACCAGGCATCTAACAGAGGAGTAAGGGCTCAGAGAGTTATGCAACTTGCCTGAAGCCCCATGATGCTTAGCAGAAGAGCTGGGTCTGCACCTGCAAAAAAGGTATCAGCTTCCAAATCACTTGGGGAGCTCAGGTAGGTCACCTGGACTCTTCTACCCAGTCCCTGGCCCTCGGTTGTGGTCCCAGGGCCCCAAGGAGGCTGACAGCGGGCATCCTGCATTGGCCTTGATTTTGGCCCCGCCCCAAGAACAGGCTCAGTGCAGGATGAAAACAAGGACCTCAAGGGGCTGGTGGAGGAACAGCTTGGGGAGCAGGGGTTCTTCTGGGAAGCCCAGCTGGAGCAAAGGAGGGTGGTAAGTCTAAACTGTGAGCTTTTGGGCTGGGGCCTGGGTCCCAGCTGGCAGATCAGTGTTTGGAAGTTTGCTTTGGAACCTCGGACAGTCTTGCCTATGGCCTGAGGCTGATGCACTGCTGGCCTCCTGTGGCTCAGCACACAGGCCAGCAGGGAGCCAGAGCCGCCGCCATGGTTTCCACCTGGTAGGCCTGGCCCCAGAGCTCACCCTCTTTCCGTCCAGCTGTTTGAGTGCTTAGGGACTGTCCCACAGTTTGCATCGTTGAAGGTGAAGGATCAGACGTTTTGGCCTAGAACTTGGGCTCCTGCCAGCTTGTTCTCCAGTCAGGGCTGCCGCACAGCGGCCATGAGCCTAGCGCCTTCCCAAATGGTGCTGCTGTGAGCTTTGGCCTTTTTGATCAGTTCCCAGGAACTCTAGGGTCTGGGCTCCCTATAAAAGCAAGGCTGCCCCTACCCATCATGCCCTTCATATGAGGCTTTCTTAAAAAAAGAAGAAAAAGGGGCTGAGGACTTAGCTTAGTGGCATAAGCGCCTGCCTTGCAAGCAGGCAGTCGTGAGTTTGATCCCTGGTACCGATAAAAAGGAAAGAGACCAAAAAAAAAAAAAAAAAAAAGAAGAAGAAGAAGAAGAAGAAGAAGAAAAAGATTAGATGAATCCCCAAGTTTGGGTATTTGCTGACTCTCCTGGTATAAATATCCAGCTACAGGCCAATTTCAAGCTACCAGAGTGATGTCACTGAAGAACACACTGGGGAGGGGTGGGTACAGTCAACTCTCATACTCCTGTGTGACCCAAAGTAAGTACCAGCAAGGTCCACTGAAGAGCTGAGTGACTTCAGGCAAATGACACAATCTCTGTGAACCTTTGGCTTCTCATCTGTAAAATGGAGCTAACAGTAATGGCCATCTCGTGGGAACATCATGCAACCAAGTGGTGGGATCTAGTAGGGCTCTATGCTGGGAACTGGGGAATGACAGAGGTGACAGAACAGGTAAGAGGACTTGCTGTCCTAGACCACAGCCTTGCAGTAAAACCCCTACCCAGGGGCTGGGACACAGCATTCAGTAAACATCAGCTGTTACTATCATGGCATTATTATTATCATTGCTACTGTTACTCTTTTCTTCTCTGGGCCTCTGCTTTCTCATCTCCAAACACAGAATCAGGCTGAGTGGCTTTCTATGAGGCCACCTAGTGCCACCACGCCCACTTGCCAGACAGGAAAACTGAGGCACTCAGACCTGAAGCCAAGTCTCCAGATCAGTCCGACCTCCTGGGTGCCATGGAAACTTAAGGACCACCTGGCCCGCAGTTGCAGTTGGCTGCATGGAGGCTTCATCATGCTCCTCCCCTTCGCCTGCCCACACTGCGGTCCTTGTGCAACAGTTTACAAAACCCCCTTGCAGCATGCCGCCTGCAGCTCCCGGGACTCTGGAAACCCCACTCTGCTTCTGGCAGAGTCTGGTGGGAGCTGATGAAATTCTCTAGTAAGAGGCGCCCAGAAGATCACGTGTTGCAAATGCAAACCAGCTGGCCTGGGGAGGCAAAGACCCCACGTGGGTACCTTCCCCCTTCTGCGAAGAACTTGAGATGGTCACAGGAATGAACCCAGACTGTCCCCAAAAGACACAGCTCCCAACCACCCATTGTTGGTAAGAAAACTAGGTTTATCCTCCTCAGACCCACAGGCAGCCGTTGTTTCCTTAACAAAACCGCCAAGACTTAAACCCGGTAACTCCAGAGAGGACATCTGAGGAAATCTTTTGGGAAGTCCCTGTATGTGTCTAGCCTTAGTCCCTCATGCTTCGGTGTCAGCCCATTTCTTTTCCTGTTCTAGAGGACAGAAACAATGTAGCTTTTCATGAACTGCAGCGTCTCAGTTTCTCTCTTACTTCTAAAATAGCTGGGGACTGTTACCAGCGACTTTCCTTTCCAACTGTCTCACTCAAGAAGCAGGTTTTTAAACAGAGATAACGATCTCGCTCCAAACTGTCATTTTCTTTCAGCTGAAGCCTAGTAATGGAGCCCTGCAAGAGCCTTATCCAAGGTCACACAGCAAGCAAGTGCTGTCTCTGTCAGTGCCACCCCGTCAGGCTGGGGAGATACCCGCTTTGTGCCTCCCTGCGGTGCGCTCTTGGGTAAGTCGCACCGCCTCTCTGAGCCTCTTCTGTGTACCAAGAAGAACTGGCTTCATTTGGGCAACTCGTTCCGGTTCCTTCCATTGCCGAGGCTGCCCACCCCACACCGGCCTTTGTCTACCTCCCTCCCCTCTGCCAAAAAAGAGGAAAAGAAACTTGCGTTAGGTGTCCGGGGAGAGCGCGCGGCTTAGGGCTGCTGAGTAGCACCGGTTGTTGCCGGGTGAACGAACCGCGCACAAATCCCAGCACCAAAAAAGCCCCACCTCCACAGTCACCGCAGCAACGGGCGCCACGCCTCCAGTCCAAACACAGCCCGCGGCCCCGCCAAGGACCACCCCTAGCTCCCCGGGGACCCCTACTTTCCCTGCGACCAGCCCCAGCTGGAATGAGGAAAGGAGCCCACGCCCCCATTACGCAGAGTAGGAGACTGAGGCCAGGGTGTAGGGTGGAGACTAGACACCCCGCGGCTGGCGAGGTCTGGACTCGCGCCCTGATCGCAGGTTCCGGCTCCCTCCCATTCCCGGAGCCGCAATCTGTCCCCGACCCATGCCCGTGGACTCTCCACGTGGGAGAGACGCAAAGCGGCTCTGTGCCTGCGGAGCGGCCCAGCGGAGTGTCTAATCTCCCTCCCCATTCTCCGCACAGGGAAGCTGATCCCCACCACCACCACCGCGCGCGCGCTGTTCCCCCTCCCCACTAGACCCTCTGCGGCTCACCTGGTGGCGGAGGCACGCGGGTGGTTTCCTGGAGTTGAATGGCAAACAAAGGCCACCAATCGGCGCGCGGGGCGGTGTGGCGGCTGCTTTGCATAATACTCGAGGTCAGCCTTAGACGGCGGAGGTGGATCCTTGGGGGCGGGAACTCGGGAAATCCCAACCAATCATAGGGAGGTAGTCGCCTGTGCCCCGCCCCGCGCGACTCGGAAGCCTGGGAGCCGGCACCCAGTTCCAGGATTGAAAATCCCAGATTGCCTGGTTGTATCTTCCTATTGCGATCCGTCCTACCGCTGTTGGGCGACCGAGGTCCTGACGGTACGATATTTGTGCGAGGTCTCACAGAGCCACCATGAGGAAGAAGTCACAAAATTTTTCGACCGAAACGGACACTTTATAAACAGGAACATGCGCTCTGTAAATGTCTGGCTCTCTGGTAAGGTGTAATGATTTTAATCCTTTCCTATGCTCTAGCAGAGGATCACTCCCCTTCGCTGTCACGATTTGTTCTAATCGCAGTCTCCTTGTGGCAGACCTGGAAATCCAGACCGTAGAGGGACCAGAACTTGTCCAATGTCAAGCAATGACTGAAAGGAACCATAACCCCTACCTCCTGGGTTTGCTCAGTGGAACTAAACCAGCCCTCTTCCACCGGGAGTCAGCAGGCGCTGGGCAGGAAGCAACTTGGCGGGGAGGAGGTACTCATCAGGTGTGTGTCTCTCCTGACCGGAAGCTCTCTTGTCCCCTGGGCAGCTGGGTCCTTTCCCAACACACCCTGGCAAGAATAGCAGCAGCTTCTAGTGGCTAAAGGCCCGTTCTGTGCCCAGGAAGGGGTCAGCAGGGGCTCCAGCTGATTTACTGGGGCTCACCCGTGGCCCAGGAGCCCCACACTCGCTGTCTGCCTGTCTTCTCCTCTGTGAAGCTTTCTGGCCCTGGCTGTCAGGACAGGATGGCCAGTGAGTTCAGACTGCCATCAGAGAGAACCTGGAGTAAGCCACAGGCACTCCTGATAGATGCTGGAACAGAAGGGAAACTGAGCCTCAGTTCCCTGCTCTGGGTTCTCCAGCCAGGACGGAGCAGACAAGAGTGTCTAGTTGTAACCTCCCCATTTTGACATTAGGAAAAAGAGATTTCAAGGCAAGATGGATCTCTGACACCCCCATTCCCACCACATTGTTCCTTCAAAGACCTCCAGGACAGGTATTTGTCCTGGAAATTACCTTACGGAAAAGGCAGCTGTAGATCCCGACTTTTCCCTTCTTCCTTTATAACTCTGGGCAAGCGACTTGGCCTTCCAAAACCCACTTCCAGAGGAATGTCTTGGGTTTAAAATTTCACTGGAAAGGAACCCAAACACCCTGTGACTACAGCACTAGTCATGGCTCAGACTTTGAGAAGTAACAGTTCCTGAAAGCCAGTCTCCTCCTCCTCTTCCACAGTGCAGATAGGGGCTGGGGCTGTCTGGTCCCTGGGTTAGGCCAAGTGGAGAGAGAGTGCATTCAAGACAGGAGCATCACAACCTGCCCAAAGGTCATAGTGTGGGTCAGTGACAACCACAGCAATGACAGTGCAAAAGCTCCCCTTCAGAATGGATGGGCAATGAAAAAGGTGTAGCGTCCCCTTCTGTCATGGTCACATCCAGAATCGTTTCCCCAGGGTGAGCTAACAGACTTTGCCGCCTTTTGTCAGCTTCCGGTGATACCTGAATTCCTTGGCTGACCATCCTTCCTCCACCTTCTGTCTGACCTCCCAGTGACTCAGTCACAGCTTCGTCAGCACCATCCCTTTTCCTCTCCTGTGACGAATTTTTCTCAGCCTCCCTGTTTTTCTGGGAGGCTGAAGGGGATAGTGGGAATTGAACCCAGGCCTTTGTACTGCAACCAGACCTTTAACCTTTTAATATTTATTTATTTTGGAGACGGGACCTTCTAAGCCACTTGGAACTTTTTCAGTCCTCCCTGAGTTCTAAGATCACAGGCAAGTGTCACCATACCCAGCTCTCTGCCTGTCTCTTACAAGGGCCCTGCAATCCCAGAGGGCCTGCGCAGAGATCCAGCATCATCTGCTCCCAGAACTTCTACTTCTTCACAACCGCGGCTCTCTTTTGCCACATAAGGACACTGACAGAGTCTAGAAGTGGGAATCTGGCTATTTGGGGGTCTGTTATTCAGCCTATCGTATGTGTTTTGCAGGAAAGGGGAGCTTGACCTGGGGTGAAATCACTTGCCCAGGATTGCACAGGGCATACCCCTGTGGCAGGGAGGGGGTGAGTCCCTGCAGCATTGAGACCCTGAGGATGGGGAAGGGTCGGCCCCTTGAGAGGAGTTGGGGCTTCAAGGACTCCAGCTGCCTCTGGGGAATTCATGGCTTTGGCCTGGGCTGGAAAGGAACAGGGACAGTAAGAGCATCTTGCACCAGACCAAGGAACTCATGCCTCTCGTCCACCTCTGACAGAGCCCTGGGCTCAGAGGTGGGCAAAGCAGGACTTCTCAAACCCCTTCCCTAGGGATGAGAGGAAATGGCCCTCAGGCTGGCCCTGAGGCCGCATGGCAGGCCATCTTCTCTTCCCTCACCCTCTCTGTGAGTTTGCTTCCAGCACCCACTGGCCTGGGCTTCAGAGACAGTTGGGCCTGAAGGAGCCTGGGAGCCCACAGTCAACCTACAGGCCTCATTCAGGGACTAACAGGCATCAAGCCCTGCCCTGGCCTTCAGTGGAGACAACGTTACCTCCCTTACACTCCAGGTCCCCAGGCAGGGACTGATACTGTGCTCTGGGGAGTTTGCCTGATATTGTGCAGTCTTTTGACATCTCTTCTTCCCTGGCCCGCTCCCTTAGCACTTAGAGAATCACTTCCGGGAGCCCACCTGAGGCCTGCATTTTAAAACATGCATTCTGCACCATAATGGGCCTATGTGGTTTTGTCTAAAAACATCATCTGTGTTTTACCTTCACACCGTCAAATACGGTGCTCTGAGATTGCAGGTGAGACTCCAGCGCCCCTGTCCACTTGGGTGTGTATCCCAACTGAGTGTGGAGTGCAGAGTCCCAGGGTGCTGGTGTAATGCTCTGGGTGCCCCTCTAAATCTGTCCTCTCTACCCCTTCTCTCTCTCCACACAGAGCAATCAAAAACCCAGCCACACAGGCAGGCCACACAGCACGCTGGCCCCAACCAGGTTCAGATTTCTTTATTGAAAAATTAAAGTCATAAGCTCTGTATATAAATACATGAACATTGGTGGTCGCCTGCAAGGCCTCTGGAACAGGCTGGGAGTGGGTGGGGGAAGCTGGGGCTTGGGGTCCCCACAGTGCAGGGCAGGGAAATAAATAATAAATACCACAGGGATAGGGAGCCAGGAGGTACTGGGGTGGGGGCGGGGCATCTCGATGCTTATTTGTGGCACTGAAGGTCCTGCAGGATGCCCCCTAGCAGGAAGCTGCGTCCTCAGATTCTCCTGTGACCTCACTGAAGGCGAAGGCTCAGGTATCTGGGGCCAGGCTGGGTCCTGCCTGGCTGGGGGGCAGCAGAGCACATAGATTCTGACTCAACCTGTTTGCCTCACCCAGCTCTCTTTTCCTCCTGTTTACGGTCCAGTGGGTCAGGACAGAGTTCGGGGGGTGCCTTCCTGCCGATCTGGCCATCCAGCCCTGACCCTCAGAGAGCTTGAAAGTGCCAGGGCAGGGGAAGGATGGGGACCAGGAGCTACACAATGTGGGAGGCCCTCAGCCCCGGCCTCTAGAGCATCACATTAAACTCAGTGACCAGGAAGTCGATGTAGTCACGGTCCTTGGTCTTGAAGGCCTCGGCGATGATCCGGGCGGCCTCCCGGTGCTCCTTGCCACGGAGTGTCAGCCCGTTCACTTCCAGGATCACGTGGCCCACCTTGAGCTGCCCGCAGTTGTGGGCTGAGCCCCCTCGCTGCAGAGAGACAGGGCAGGGCTCACCTGAGGTGACCAAGCAGTGGGCAGTTGGACATGGCTAGCTAGGCAGACACATCCTGGTGTCAAAACCGCAGCTGTGCAGAGTGAAGTGGGCTGTGAGCCTCTTGGTTTTGGTTTGGAGTCCAGTGTGGAGAAGGAGTATCCTGTTCATGCAGCCAGACCCTTCAGGGAGACTTGATCATGCCACAACAAGGGAAGGACAAGCACTAGGGTGCCCTCAGGTGCTGTGTCACCTCTGGGGCGGCAAAACCCTGGGCATGCTGAGCAAGGGGATCTCACGTACTTTTGGGGAAGGGTGACATGGTCCCGGGGACCCCTGGGGGCACACCTGAATTGTGACGATCCTTGGCAGTGGCTGGCGTGTGTTGGCCCCACCCTCAATGGCGATGCCCAGGGTGGCTGCACTCTTCTTCACGCGGATCAGGGTGGATGTGGGCTCTAGGAGTCCAGGCTGTGGGGTGAGGCCTTCTCAGGGAGCTGGCCTGGTTGAGGGCCTGGGCTGGGCCATGACCCGTCCCTGGCCTCACAGGGCTCAGGCTCCCATGCTGGGAGCCCCCAGTGTGGCAGGGACCAAGCCAAGCACTAAGTGTCCTCAGCTCTTGAATCCCAACAAACTCCCTAAGGCCCCAGGCCTCCTGGGATGACCACAGGGACTCTAGTCCAGGCCTGTTGACCCAAGGACTGTCCCGGCCATTGCTCCATGATACAACCAGATCACAAAGATTCTCAGGCCAGCCTCCTTTATCCAGGGCTGGTGGTAAAGGTGGGACTTAAAAGTGGCCTTCAGATTCCTACTGCAGAGTCCCTTCAGTACGTGGAAATTCCTCTAGCCATGGGGAACTCACCGCCCCCCTGCACCCTGGTCCCAGCGCCACCTGTCTTCACCTGGGCCCTGCCTTCCTCCCAGCCTTGCACCTCCTCCCTTCCGGCCCTCCTCACCGGTTTGTGGCCTCCCTCTGTGGTCCTCTCGCTCCTAGGCAGCTCCTTACTGCTCCTGCTCTTGGTGGACGCCATCTGTCTGCTTTGGCCTGAGGCGCTGGCCTCCACCTCGCCGGCATCCACACCACTGTCCTCACTTAGCGTCTGTCCACTGTCGGAGAGCTGGGAGAGTGTGGAGGCTGCTGAGGATCGGGGGACAGGAGGACAGGAGCAGTCAGGAAGGGCTTCCTGGAGGTGGCAGTGGAGCCTGAGGCTAGAACGCTGGGGGACTTGCCAGGCAGTGGGGGAGGGAAGGAATGAAGAAATGCAGGGGCTGGAGGGCAGGCCGGGACACCCCTCATCTCCCTCTCCTCCTCCTGCCCTAGCTGCTGCTTCTAGGACATCCACCTTGGCCTCCCTTGGCCTCAGCCACTGGCATAATGATTGAAACGGAGGTCAGTGGGCAAGCCGGCCTCCTGATTGCTATTTTGTTTTAATTCTGAGGCAGGGTCTCAGTACACAGTCCTGGCTGGCTTTGAAGTTTCTATGCGCCTGCCTCGGCC